AGGACTTGAGCAGTTCCGTATTCGTTCTGTCCTGCCAAGCTGTGGGCAGAGGCCAATAAGCATCACAGTCACACACAATCCACACCAAAATAATCCTAGCCCCTTTCTACAACCTTAATCCCCAAGGTCCTTCTCACCTCAGTCCAGTTGCCCCCTCCCACATCCTGTGAAAGGACACAGAGTGGGTCAGACTTGGAGCCAATGTCCTTGTCAATGAGGTGATCGCAGGAAATGGAGAGCTGAACCGAGGTCACACAATGGGCCATCTGGGGGAAAAGGACCTGAGTCAAACATCCAGGACTTTTTCCTGGGATAAAGTCCCAGTTTGGGAAGGCCAGCAGGCTTCACCCAGGGAGGCTCTGCCCTGCCTCCACCCCAAAACACCAGAGGAAGAAAAGGTCCTATACTATTCTAATCCCCTTGGGGTGAGCTCAGTGGTACAGGAGATAGTGGTCACAACCAACTGGTACAAGAATATGATGGTAAAATGCAAAAAAATATACCTGTCTTCATCAACAACTTTGACTCAACCAGTTCTTAACATAAAATTCATTCAAAACCCAAGACTACTACTCAGAACTTATACCCTAAAATCAGGGTTTTAACAGATTAAACTGCTCAAGTCCTGATTTTCTCAGAGATCAGTAATTCCCTTCTCTTTTACTTGCCTTAAATCAGTCTTATCCTTGTTTCGATCCCAACATTGCCCCAACACAACCATGACACAGATATTATTCCTCCAAAAATCTCTTCCTCCAATGATTTACCACTAATCCTGAGACCCTGCATCATGGGATAGAGTTATGATTCCTTCACTGACTCTACTAGCTTCTAATCAGAAGCTCATCTTCAACTCCTCACTATTCTCACTGCCAGTACCCAGCTAAAGTCATCATCATTTCACACTGGTTTATCATATTAGATTCTTTAACTTGTCTTCCTTACCCTAAGCCATCCCCACCTTCCCAATAGGGAAGGTCCCCACCCTTACCTCAATAGGCAGTTTAGCTATCAGGGTGATGCTATTAAAACTTAAGTTGGGTCTACAAGGTCTTTAATCTGATCTCCTAACACCTTTTTCTTGCTCACTCCATTCTGGCCACACAGGTCTGCTTGTTTACCATTCCTCAAATAAGCTTGTTTCTACCTCAAAGTCTTTGCAGTACCAGTAAGTTCTTCCCTCCTAATAGCTACATGACTTGTTCCCTTACTCCCTCTAGGACTTTATTCAAAATCATTTCCATTATGAAGAACAAGGTTGTCATTTTCTAGCCACTTGAAAATTTCATCCTACCACTGACAGAACACATACTCCTTTCCTGCTTTTTCTCTTTAGCATTTATCACTGTCCTGTGTATGTGTGTGTATGTATACATATAGAGCAATATGACTCCCCCATTAGAATGTAAACTCCAAGAGAGAAGGGATAGTTACTGTTATTTTCATTCCTCTACCCCAATCTCCCAGACAAAAATAATTTGCCACATGAAATCTAACCTAACTGGCAATCAAGAAGCATCAAGCTTCTCCATTTCCTCTGCTGAAAACACAAACTTCTTGCATGGGTCCCCGTAACAATTATCTTCAGATAATTGTTCCACAAACCTATATACCTGAAGACCATATCTGTACCACAAGGGCAGACAAGATCTCTTACTAAGCTTTATCCATTATTCCTGGCCTCCCAACACTACACCCCAGGAAGCCTCCAGTTTCAGCCTTCCCTAAACTGACCCTCAGTCAATCCTTTCCCTGACCCAGGCCACAGTTAGTACTGCTCCCATCTTGGCACCTTGTGGTCTCCATCTGGAATGCTGTTATTAAAACTTGGAATATCTCTTTGAATTCAACTTGCTTCACATATTGACCTACATAGCACTTCGGCCTCTTCTTGAGTATATTTAGTGATGGAAAACCCACCACTTATAACCAACTTATCAGAAAGACTGCTCTGTAAAATCCTACCCAAACCAACCCAAGACTGAATTTTCACTTGTACACATTAATCCAGCTTCTTTGCCAATTGAAAATTCCACAGGATAGACTTAGTCCTCCATCTCCCTCTGAGAGCCCATCTGATATATGGAAACACTGAAACCACTGACACCCTCAACTGAAATCTGGAGAAACAGCCTTAGTTCTTTTGATTGTAGCCCCTAGAATGTGACTTGCAGACTTCCGACCAGCCTAATCATACCTTTGGAGATTCCCCAAGGATAGATCCAGAGCAAATATACTCCCACCAAGAGAGCAGGACCACAACTTCCCCCAAGTTACAATCTGAACTTTAAGCTTCTTATCTCAACACATTTTCTGAGGCAGTACTGAGACAAATGAAGAAAAGCCCTTATGCTGAGAACAGTGGAAAACCTGAGACAGCTTAAAGTTCTACCAATTAAGTATTGACTAAATATGCCACATTCAAACAACAGAATGCTGAGTATAGGTAAAAACCACCTTAGGCAAACGTATACTGTATTTTTTTTAAAGATTTTTTTTTTTAATATACAACAACCGGGGTACAGGCCAGATGTGCAGGAGGGTGAGAGAATTCACCAGAGACAGAGCGGGGAACAGAACAGGCAGACTGACAAAATACACTGCTGAGGGGAGCAGCGGGAGAGACAGGAGAGGTCTGCTTCGCCATGTGGGATTCTCGCCAGCCGGCAGGGATTGAACACGTGCTGCAGAGGCTGCGGACAGCTTCACAGTGCAATGCTCAACCGCCTGCGCCAACAGGGAGGCCCTATATTTATTTTTTAAAGATTTATTTATTTATGCATACAAGAACTGGGGTACAGGCCAGAAGTGTGGAGGGTGGAGAATTCACCAGAGACAGAGCAGGGAACTGAACAGGCAGACTGACTGAAACACTGCTGAGGGGAGCAGCAGGAGAGGTCTGCTGCACTATGTGGGTAGCTCCCTGGCTGGGGATCGAACTCATGCTGCAGTGGCTGCGACCAGCTTCACAGGTTGCTTCCCAACCACTTGCGCTACCAGGGAGGCCCAAACATATACTATATTTATATAAAAAATAAAATTGGCCTCCCTGATAGCTCAAGGGGTTCAACACAGCACTGTGAAGCTATCCACAGCCTCTGCAGCAGGAGTTCAATCCCCAGCAGCCAGGGAGCTACCCACATGGCGCAGCAGACCTTTCCTATCTCGCCTGCTGCTCCCCTCAACAGTATATTTCAGTCTGTTCTGCTCCCCACTTTGTCTCTGGTGAATCCTCTCACCCCCCCACACACACCTCTGGCCTGTACCCCAGTTCTTGTATGCATAAATAAATAAATCTTCAAAAAAAAGAAAATTGTAAAAAAGTGGTAAGGGTATATGACTCCTTAAATTTCAATTATATATGTATATTTAATAGATTTGCATACACAAAATAAATACACAGAAAAATGGAAGACACACAAAATAAATACAACTTTTAACTATCTCAAGAGTGGGAAGGTGAGCTTTTTACATAGTTTCAATATTTTATACTGTTTATTTTGTATTTTCTAAAGGGTCTCATTAGATTTTCCCTCCCTGCCAATTCACACTTTAAGTCCTCGACTATTCAGTCTAAAGTTAAGCACATACTTTCAATTCAACGCCTACCTAACCAGACGTCACTGTCTTTTGCGTCCTCCCTAGTTTCTTCTTAGTGCTCCCCCACTTAGTCATTCCTGATGCCAGCTTCCTGAGAATGTCTACCCTAACTAGAAACCCTGGACAACTGCTCACGACCCTTAAGTTCAGAGCTATTGGAATGTCGGAAAAGTCATGATGTATTTTTTATTCTTCACGCAAAAATGTGTCATGACTTTCCTTTTTTAAAAAAAAGATTTATTTTTTTTAATTATGCATACAAGAACTGGGGTACAGGCCAGGGTGCAGGAGGTGAGAGGATTCACCTGACAGAGTGGGGAGCAGAACAGGCAGATCCACTGAAATACAAAGCTGAGGGGAGAAGAGAGAGACAGGAGAGGTCTGCTGCACCATGTGGGTTAGTTCCCTGGCAGGGGATCAAACCCCTGCGCCACCAGCAAGGGTCTGTCATGACTTTTCTGACAACCCAATAAATTTCCCCAGAAGGGTCGCTTATCGCACAACTGCAAAGGCCGCATGACACAGAATTCAGTAGTTGAGTGACATGATCACCTTATTTCCACAATTCAAACTTCAAAGCCCTTCTCTGCCTACTTTGCTTCTGGCCATTCCATCATCCACCTAACCATCCAAAGCTATTTCATTTTCTCAAAACACATATACATGCTGATACCTCATGTTCCTGCCTAGCAAATTCCCTGTTATTAATAGATTTTAGACATTGCTCTTCTATGAAGCCTTGCCCATGTTTCTCAGATTTTCTCCTCTTTGTAATCAGTCTTTCTGCACACACACATGCATGCACACACACTGTGTTTATTAATTAAACCCAATTAAAAATCTGGAATGGCTTTCTAAAACAGTCAAGGTAAAATTCAAAGTTCTTAGCATGGTCTACAAAGCCCTACCAGACCTGACCTTTGCCTAATTAATCATCTAGGCATCCAAGAATATTCGAGCCAGATTTCATATCTGACCCACAACATACCCACAATCTCATTCCCCTTGTTACTGCCTCTGTACTATCTACTGCCATATACATCCAGAAAATAAGCTTTATTAGAGTAGGACCATGCCTGGTTTGTCTATATATCTCTAATACTTATAATGGTACCTACTCTACAGTACGTACTTTGTAAATATTAACATTGAAATTTTTACTTTCATCTGTCTGCCCACATGTGTGGGCTCCCTGGAGCTAGGTCTGGGTATTATTTCTGTATCCCTAATACTAGTATTTAGTACAGAGTTGATACTCATAACCATTTGCTGAATAAACAATATGATTTTGTTCAACTCAAACCTTGTAATCTTTGTCATTTGAAATACTGTCCAACAATAAACCTTCCTTATCCTGATTTTATACAAATGAGCTTTTGATTTTAAAAGTGGAGTCCTGGAACTCAGTATTAAAGACAACTTTAAAATGCACAAAAAAATTGATCAGATACTTCATGAAGGAAAAAATATAAATTGGAAATAAAGAAGAAGGGATCAACAGGACTAGTAATGAGGGAATTGAAAACTAAAAGCACAATGAGGTACTATTATATACGCACAATGGATAAAAGTAAAAAGTCAACGTCGAAGGTTGGCAAGGATGTGGAACTCCCATACATTGTCAGTGAAAGTATTTATATACCATTCGGAAAGTCTGGAAGCTTATTAGAAATTCAAACATAAAATTGGGCCTCCTAGTCCAAGAGCATTCCCACTCCCAGATTTGTATCCAAAGGATATCAAGTTATGTTCACAAAGGTTTATACAAGGTTGTTCATAGCAGCTTTATTCATAATAGCCAAAAATTTGAAACAGCCCAGGTATCCATCAATGTGACAATGTATAAAAAAAGCCATAAACCATGATGCGCTTGGGCCTCCCCTGGTGGCGCAGCAGTTGAGCGCTGGGCTGCCAGGCAGAGCCGGTTCATCCCCCGGCTGCCAGCAAGGGTCCCACAAAAAAAACAAAACAAAACAAAACCATAATGTGCTTATATATGTAACAGAAAATTACTCAACAATAAAAAGAAACAAACCATTACTATCGCTACATGGATGAATCTAAAGCATAAAATACACACAAAGTAGTTTTAGCTACAGTGAGATATCATCTTACACCAGTGAGAATGGCACATATTAAAAAAACTAGCAACAACAAATGTTGGCGAGGATGTGGAGAAAAAGGAATTCAATTCTCCTGCACTGCTGGTGGGAGTGCAAACTGGTCCAACCACTATGGAGAGCTGTGTGGAAATTCCACAACCTGCTAAAGATGGAGCTTCCATAAGATCCAGCAATTCCACTCCTAGGTATTTACCCAGAGGAAACAGAATCATTAATTCAAAAGGGCACCTGCACCTCTATGTTTATAGCAGCACTATTTACAACAGCTAAGCTATGGAAACAACCCAAATGCCCAAAAATAGACGACTGGATCAAGAAGATGTGGTACATATACACAATGGAATATTACTCAGCAATCAAAAAAGATAAACTCATGCAATTCGCAGCAACATGGATGGAGCTGGAAGGGATCATGCTCAGCAAAATAAGCCAGAAAGAAAAAGAAAAATACCGGATGGTCTCACTCATAGCAGGAATTTAGAAAACCTAAATAAGAGACCAGGAAAAAGACTAATTATAATAAAGTAAAAATCAAAATCAACAAGCAATTATAAACCAGAAACACACTGGGGTGGGGAGGGGGGAAGGAAGGAGGGATTAGGGTTAAAATAATGGGGGTGGAATTGTATGAGGAATATAACCAAAATGAAAATGCATACATTGTGCAAAAATGAAAAATGATGTAAAAAAATATATAAAATAAAAGTAGTTTCAGGACAGGCAAAACCAATAATGAAAAACTTTCACTGATCGTTCTTCCCCAATCAGGAGAAGGGGTAGGTATTAACTGAGGAGAAGCAGAATCCTAGGGAGAATGGAAAAATTCTTTATCCTGATAGGAATGTGAATCAGGAATGTATGTATTTGTCACTTTAACCTAATAGGTACACTTGTGTGTGTGTGTATCTTATGCTATTTTTCCAAACCTCCCCAACACCCCCCAACCCAAAACCCATAAACAAATATTGAACTCAAGGCATGTTGAAAAGTTTAGGGTAAAGCGTGCTGATGCTTGCACCTTCTTTGTAGGGTATCCAAAAACGAAACGGTCTGGAATGGATACGTGGTATTAAAAAAAAAAAAACCTTTATATGTAGAATCTGGTGGATATATGGGTATTCACAGTATAATTTCTTCAACTTCCTTGTATGTTGAAAATTTTCATAGTAAAATGTTGGGGGAATTTTAAATGGAAGATCACAGGTTTATCCCTAATATCTTGTTATGAAATATAAAAACATTAGCAGTAATTATCTGTGGCAATGAAATTATAGCCAAAAAAAAAAAAAAAAAGAAAGAAAAAAGGCCTGAGTGAAGCCTTTTCCTCACTTCCTCACTCCAGGACTTCTCAAAGATGCCAGTAAAGATGCCAGACAAATGAAGCAGACCAGGAGATACTTCATATGATAGGGCTCAACTTCTGGCAGACTAGAGCAATCTTTTCCAAAGTCTATTACCATTTCTACCATTTTTCCCCATAGCTGATGTTATTCTGCAGTTTTTCAGTTCTTCTCTAAGTAGAATGACATGGCCTTACATGTACCCCAGTAGCATATGGGGCTGGGTTCTATTCTAAGTCCAGAGCTCCTGTGCCTCCTTTGTTTTATCATAGGAATCAGCAAACCTTAATAACCAAATCACATCTGCAATTTTCTATCCTTTGAACAATATTCTCTTTAAATAATCCCATTTAATTCATGGGATTATTCTCTCTCCATTAAAACCTGTCCCCAAGCCTAGCATTTAGAAATCTAAATCTTTAATGAAAAACTATACTTCATATTACTCTTCTGTCCATATCCTTTGAACAGATGCATAGACTCACTAACCTTTCACATAGTGCCATTATAATTAATCTCTGATCTTCTTTATAGGACTGTGATATTAAATATCACACTTAAGCAAGTCAGTAAGAGAAGTCTCAGAATTTTCTTTAAGAGAGGTTGGACTACTACTTGCCCAGTCTTTGTGCACTCACTCCTGAATTGCCTGGATGTCTCTATCAGTCTCCTAATTGGTCTCCCCATTTCCACTGTCAGTCTTCTCTGGTCTGTTTTCTATGTTGAAGTCAGCTTTCCCTGGCTCCAACACAACAAATCCCAGCTTCTCAGAAACCTATCAAAACTTGTAACTTGCTTATTATGTTTCTCCTGCTACACTATTAATTCAATGTGGAGAGGGAACCAGATGTTTTGTTTTCATTCCAGTGACTCACACAAAATAGGTGCATTATAACAATCTGTTCAATTAATGACAGGTAAGGAATGGTAACTTAAGGAGCCTCATAAATAACCCAAGAATAACTCTGGCCAGCTACTTAAGCCATCAGAGAAAAAGTGAATTTTTTTCTAACAACTCACGACACAAAAGACTAGTTTGTTATCTGTGGGTGCATCCACTGCTCCCACCCTCCCATTTGCTGATAGTCAGGAATTGCAAACAGAAACAAATGAGTATACAGCACTCATGTTTTCTACCTTTGTTTCCCCCCACTTGGAGTGTGATTCCCTTCCACTTTCCTTGTAAGTTGCTTTCCTGTTTACCCATATAGTCAACAACTTTGTTTTCCAGTCCCATTTCCTGGAAGGACACATTCCCCCACCTTTCCTTAAAGAAACCATACTCATTCATACTTAAACTCACAAAATGTCAGAAATAAAAAGGGACTGAGTGATCCAAGTCAATTCAAGGCAGAGAAAGATGTGTGATTTGACTAAGGCCACATACCTAGTTAAATAAAATGGGGACAAATATCCTGATTCCCATCTAGTGTAGAACTTTAGGACTATTATTATATTCGTCATTCCTGAAAAAACCTGTCATTATTTTAATAGCTACATGAAATGGGCAAGAGGACTGGCCTTAGTCTTTCCTAACCACAATGAGATATTACTCATACCCACCTGAAATGTCTTATTTATATATATACCTAAGGGAGGTTCCTCAGGTATAAAGTGGGGGATACTACCTATTTCTGAAGATGTAAGATACTTAGTGCAGTCTGTCACTATTATTACCAATAAATGTTAGCTGTTATTATACATTTAGTTCTCATATATACCCCCTTTCATGTTTACAGCACTTAACATCTCACTCTAGACTACTATACTCAATTCATACCATAGTTGTATTCTATCAGCTTCCAGCATTTTGCCTTGCCAACTGAAATGACAAACTTCTTTAGAATAAATGCTGTTTCAACATCTTTGTCACACAGCAGACCTAAGCATATACTAGGAATTCAAAACATCCAAAGGAGGCTTGCAGCAGTGTGTTAAAGCAGACTGGTAAGAGTTAACAAGAATAGAATTGTTAAATATTAAGAAAATTTGTAAAATAGGTGGCATTGATAACTTTTAAGCCACAGAAATTGGGCAAATGCTAACAATCAGCTCCCTTCTTCCAGTTAGCCAGTTTATCAGTGTATCACTATTGATGCGGAATCCTACTCTCTGCCAATAGGACGTTAACATGCTCTATATTTTCTACAGCATCCCCTTTTCTGCCTTGGGAGATTCTATCTCTGCTCTTCATGAATCCAGTAACAGATTTCTTCTCCTGGATTCAAGAGGATACAATTCAGTGCCAGTTAAATGGAAACTTATCAGTCCTTCCCAATCAGTAGTTATACAGGCCTCTTCCATCCCGAAAAGTCTAACAAGGAGAGCAACAGCCTTCAATCTCATTTCCAAACTGCAAGGAAGAGGAATAAAACCACAGTATCTGGGTAATAGGATCACTCCTTCAACAAACCAAAGCCATGGTCACACTCCTGTTGCCTACCTTGTGTTTGAAGCTTATATGTTCCTCCTTGGTTCATTTCCCTTCCCTATATCCAAGTCTCTCCTCAAGCTAGGTTCTTTTTTTGGAACAGCTCAGATGATGGATCAAGCCTTGAGGGCCAACCAGGAGATTCTCTATAGGTTCCATGGAACACCACCCATGAAATACCATTTTTCTGTAAGACTGAAATGACAAACTGTCTACCACCACCACCATCGCTCTTCTTCCTTTCCCCCTCTGCCTCCTCAAGGGGAATGGAGAAACAAGTTGGTTTTTCACCCTTGCTCAGAGATTACCCAAATATAAGTCAGCAGCCCCATTTATAGTATTCATAGACCACAAATCGAACCAAATATGCAAAACCTTCCTATAAAACGTACATGATTCTTTGCTTGTACATAGGACTAAGGGTAACTAAAATTGTATTTATAAACTAAAAATGTAAAACAATCTGGTTTAGTTAGGTAATGCTAAGACTGCAGCCAATATAATGCAATATACTACGAAGTTTAAAATGTGCACATTCATGTAACAGTGCAAGTGGGGAAATACGGTAAACGATCAGTTTATACTTTTGCTATATTTTGTGATGGGCAAGGAAACCACTGGTCAACTCCAGTGTCCCCAAGAGACTTAAACGAAGTTGAGCAAATCCCATCTGTGTCTAGCTCTTCAAAAAGAACCTAGCTTGGGACCTTGCTGGTGGTGCAAGGGGTTAAGTCTTAGCATTATGAAGCTATCCGCAGCCACTGCAGCATGAGTTTGATCCCTGGCCAGAGGGGAGGTGGCACAGACCCCTCCTGCCTTGCCCACTGTTCCCCTCAGCAGTGTATTTCAGTAGATCCACCTGTTCTGCTCCCCACTCTGTCTCTGGTGAATCCTCACCCCCCACACCTCTGGCCTGCACCCCAGCTCTTGTATACATAAATATGTAAATCTTGGAAAAAAAAAAAAAGAACCTAGCTTGAGGAGAGACTTGGATATAGGGAAGGGAAATGAACCAAGGAGGAACATATAAGCTTCAAACACAAGACTCTACTATTTTTCTGTGCCCCCCCCACCCCTTAATGACTCAATGTGCTTACACAAAGTTTCCATTTGCCTACTTCAAAATAAATCCAGGTCCCACTCTGTAAGCATGAGCTTTCCTGTGAAAGCTGAGTAGTCGCACCGACTTGTCATGGTGTCTGTTCCTTGACACTAAAAGCTGGAGAATTGAACCGGTGATGGAGCAAGGCTGGAGACCCTTCCCCAGAAGACTAGGAAGGTGCTGCCAGTAGCCTCCTGTATCTTCTCCCCAACGTCACGGAGAGGCAGGGAACAGTTGAAGGAGAGAGCAACTCTGTCTCTGGAGTCAAGGCAGATAGTCTATGACTAAATAATACGTCTGCCGCTTACTTTCAGCAAAACCTAAGTTTTTTTTTTTTTTTTGGTTTGTTTCTCTTTGCCTGGATTTCCCCACCTGTAAAGTGAGAATAATGTATTAAAGGAGGCCAACCATGGAGCATGTTCTGTGCCTGATGCAGAAGAGGTGCCCGAAGTACGTCATTTTCTACATGTTAGTTCATGGGACAACAGGGAGGAATGCCTTTGGTGTACTTACACCAAAGGACATAACTGGCAGGAAAGGGCTAGTCCTCAAAAGAGTAAATGAAGACTCTTCTCTTTTTGTATTGAAGTTTTCAAGCCGCTGTGTGGGAAAACTATCACATTCAGAAAAAGTAGAGCAGTAGCAAGACCAAAAATAGAGTTTTTTAGTTTAAGGTTCAAATTGATCTCCAAAAATACAACTGAGTTCACAGAATCACAAAATTTAAAACCAGATACACTGTCTAGGATAATCTCATTTTGTAGAACAGAGGCCAGAGAGAAATGCCTAGTCCTAGGTCACACCAATGAACCACAACCTGATTCCCTGAGAATGTGATTTCTGCATCTACCTATTTAATCAGCAGCCCACAGCTTATAATAAAGTCCAATCTGAAGTCCTACCTGGTCACTTAAAGAGCAGTGAGACTCATGTGGCTTCTTCCCATGACCAATACTAACTATAATTAGCCCTGGACACAGATGGAAAATAATTCTATATGCACCATTCTCCCTATTTGATTGCTGTGGCAGGAGTGGAAAAGCTCCTGACTAGTACATTTATAGGATTTTACCAAAGTCCCATAATAAACTTTAAATAACAAACAAGAAGAACACAAATAGAATGTGATTTATACCAAAAATTTCAAAGAATATCTATCGAGCAGTCAATTTTACCCACATTCTGCCTTGCTAGAATCTGTATTTTTTTAAATCTGCAACACGTTAACAAGACCCCTGCCTCACTACTGCCTCAAGTTTCAAGACAACAGTACTGGACCTCCTTTCTGAGTGTCTTCAGGGCAAGGGTGTTGACAAGAAATTGTGCCTCTCCAATGTGCAATGTGACCAACGGCACAAGGAGTTGAGTACATGAAAGGAGCTGGCACAATGAGAAGCAGACCAGAGCTTTTAGAAAACCTACCTACCATTCATAATACTAGCCTCCATCACTAGCATATATTCATCTGGGATAATGAGAGATGTTAAGATAGGTTTTCTTCGGAATTTTTGTTAGGAAAGTTGGGAAATAAAAAGGGAGGATTTTCAACAGAGAAACTACACTATCCATTTGCCACTGTGAGTGAGGAATGGGACTGGGGGTAGATTCAAGTCCTGCTGCAGAATTAATTTTACAATCTAAAACTGCCACTAAGTCAATTTCCAATATGGCTTTTTACTCAGGTAACTGACACAAGTTCTCCCCCAAAAAACACCAAACACAAGAGGAGAAAGGAAAGTCAGGAGGAATGCAATAAAACAAACAGCTGAAAGGGATGACAGAACTAAAAGAGAAATAGCAAGTAATTTACTTTCTATATTCCAAATTTGGGCAGTCTAGAAGAGTAGGTTGTAACCACATGTGGCTATTGAGTACTTCAGATATGCTTAGTTCAAATCAAGATGTGCCACAAGACTAAAACAATGAATTTTGAAAAATATAACCTTAGTATATTTAAATGGTAATATTTTAGATCTACTGAGTTATTAATTTCACCTTTTTTACCTTCTTAATGTAACTACTAGGACATGTGAAATAACATCAAGTAACATTATTTCTATTGGACAGTGCTGCCTAACACAGAGGTCTCCAGAGATCACGCAGAACAGGAAGCCTATTACTCTGTGAATCTAATGTTGTGCTGTTTGACATGGCAGCCACTAACCACAAGTAGCTAGTAATTATGTTATTAGTTCAGATGAGAACATTTCCATCAGAAAAAGTTCTATCAGTCTAGAAGAACAAAGACCTACACCCGTGGTTATTTCATATAGAAAAACTCTGTATCAAATCAACCCCAAGCTAGAAATAATTTCAGGTAATCAACTATGCATACAAGTGGCGGGGAAATTCACTTAGTTCTGGAGCATTTCCGAATACCTTACTAGAGCATATTTTATAAGAAGTGGTATCTAGTAGCTTAGTCAAGGACTTATTAAAAAAATGTAGTTTCTATGCCTTTGCTAGGTCAGGACATCCCTAGACCCAACCCTTACCTTCCTATCTATTGACCATTCAGCTCAGTCACGTCACTCAGGCTGCAGGAACCTCAAGCTAGGCTGCTATGGAACAATTTTAAAAGCTTTAAGGACAAGCACCCAAGCACTGTTTTATATAATACCACTGTACTCTCACAGACATTTCCCCTTACTAAATCAACATACCGTGTCCCCAAGAACATTTTAGTGAGAGAGCACACCTTCCTTCGGCTTACATACAAGGTTTCCATTACACTTGCTTCTGTCTGACCATTTAGAAACTGGCCAGGAAACTGTATCTAGTTCCCGTGGCACATGAGCATACCTTGTGCAATCGAGCGCGTACTTTTATGATGAGTTTAAAGTCTTGAAGAATAAGCATCTTATTTTGTTATTTTGTTTCCTTATCCACTAGTGTGTAAAATGCTGGGTGCACAGCGAACACTACTCAAAACCTTTGGTTAGCAGAGGATACAGCTATGGCTAAGCTGTATATTCATGTGAAATTATCCTAAACGCTTGACAATAGAGGACTCCAATTCCATTCTGTCAATTCAATCACATAGAAGCAAATATAACTAGTAGTATCTACTTCAGTAAGAGTTGTTAGTCTTCCTATTTTAGCCAGACTTACAGCAGACTCTCCTGGCCCAATAGCCCCAAAAGATGTATAAAGAAAATGACCCTGTCTGTACTGCACCCCAATGTGCGGGGGGTATGTAGTAAGGTGGTTTTAACTCACTTCCAAGTGGAAATGAAAACAAATGAGGAAAAGAGCAACAATACCAATTGATGATTTAAATCCCCTAAGTAGCTGAATTTCTTTACCCTTCTTGAGCCTGTCCCCCTCTAGAAGGACTAATAGATGACTTATGGTATCACAAAGTGGTTGATATGTAGCACACTTAAAGTGACAAATCTTATTGTCAAAATCAAGAGCTAAGAGTGAACTCTACCCCACTCCCCACCCCAATTCTGAGGCCAGGGCTACAGGGAGAGCAGTGAGGGTGTATTCAATCAAAGGAAAACTGAAACTCATAGCCCTGGTTAAAAACAGACTTACAACTTTGACTTTGTTCACATTTAATTATGTTCTCTTATTGGTGATGGCTCTATTAATAGTCATCTCCTCTCAACATGATATGGCAAACCATCAGTTGATTAGGAAAAATGACTTTGAAATTGTTTAACTAAAGTCAGAGTCCAGATGTTGAGAACAGCTTGGGATGCCCACTTCGATGTTCTGCAGTGCCATTTAACCACTTTACATGGTATTAACTTAGTCTCTTTAACCATCAACATTTTCACTGGGGAGAGGTCCCTGGGTCGCTATACAGAATTCAAGGAATTTTCTTAGGCTTCCCCCAGCACTATTTCCTGCCCCCAGAATTTTAGAGTGCTGTCCGTCTGTCTCTAGGGTAGAATACTTGCATCAATCAGGTGGCTTTTTGCCCCTTCTGGTTTCTTCAGTAGTAGAAAAGTAGTGCCACCTTAGTTGTTTGTTGCTAGTTATGTTGATCCAGCAAAGGAACCATATTCTGAATAGGATGCTTGTGAGATCCTCTGGTACAAAGTAGCTCAAGGCACAAAGAATAAACCCAGAAACATCACAGTAAAGAATTAACATTTATATGAGCAGACACTAAAAGATGAACTTGCTTATGTTGTAGAAGACGGGTTTTCCCAGAAAGTCACTAAATCATCAGAGAATTGTGCCACCACCATAGAACATGCTTTCTAGAACATTTTACAATAAGTCAAAGTGATCTATCAGATTTTATGCTAAAAAGACAAGCAATTTTTTTTAAATAAGGATAGTCTTAAGTTTGGATTCTATCATATGCCATAAAAGTTCTACTTTGGGGGTATAAGGAGAATGGTGGCAATGCACACAATTCATAAACTTTTCTTGCTGTAAAACACCGAAAAGCAGACAATAGCAAGTTATAGGACTGATTTTGCTTGAGCAACAAAAGATGATATTAGCACACAATCTACCCTTTAAGATGGCAAAGGCCATTCTGGACAACTGTAGGAATTCTGATGTCACTCTGTGATTTTTCAAATATTTAATCAAACCATCATAATTTTAAAACAGCTAGGCTGCTTCCTGGAATTAAGTAAGTCTAGTCTAAACACCTCTAATAAAACAAATTAGGCATTCAAACTCAAATACAGGCTAAAAATCTTAAATGATAAAAATAAAAGTTACAAACATGTTTCGACAGCTTTGGTTAAAAGGAACAGCCCACCAATTTCTCTGCAACAGCAATATATCAACAGATTTTTTTTAAAGGACTCTGGAATTTTGGTAAACTTCATTTGCTATTTTTTTCCCAACAAATGTGGGACAAAACTAGAGCATCAGTGTTAGAAAGCTGTAACATTTTTGACTCTTCTCTTTCCCACTTCAAATACCCTCACTAATGCAAAAGCAAAACAAAGCCTTACAGGTCTGTGCAAGTAACAATATCCTCTGAAAATTTATTTTCCCATTTCCTAAAGTAATTACTTTTTAAAAATAGACAATCCACTGCCCCCTTTAAGACTCCTTCTTTGAAAAGGAGCATCTGGATTTTGGTTCTTTCTGAGCCCACATAACAAAGTGGCTTGCTAACAAAACACATAATGAAAGTCTGAAAGGGTAAATACCACAGATTTGATCTAGAATTAAATTTCCTCCCTGCTGTTTGGGGCATCCTCTTCTTTCCAAATTTCAGCATTAGCAGGTAAGGATAAACAATTGTTACCTCCAACAACATCACCAATTCCACCTTTCCAAAGGCACAAAATATTTTCAGGAGTTACCAAAAAACTCTGGTATTACAGCTTAGTAAAATATACTTGTGCAGTTAAAGCATTAAAAGCATCAGCCTGTTTTATTTAAGGACAAGTTTATTGAACAATATTCATGACTTAATTTTTATAAACAAAACCTCTGTTGAATGATGCCAAGGCAGGATTTGCTGGCAATGCTGTGGCCATATTGGCAACAAGTCATCTTATTGTGTTTGGTTTTTAAAATCTAGACTACTTGTAGCACTGCCAGTAAAACAATTTAAATGTGGCAATTTTACAAGAGTGGGAAATTCTTTTTTTCAAGTCATCACTGCCAGAAATTCTTCCCAGAAGATTTGACTAACACTAATTTTACATTTTTTACTTGTTTTTAAAGTGTTTTTGAAATTAATGAGTGAGATTTATTTTTGAACACTTGATCCACATCTGTACACAATGACAGAATCCAATAAAAGGAAATTTGAGTTTGATTAATGCTTTCGTGCATCCTTATTTTTAATGAATGTCTTTCCACTCAAACTGTGTTTGCTTCTATATACAGGCGAGATTTCCATTCAGTGGGTTAAAACTGACCTAATTACATCAAATTATTACTCTCTGAAATTTTGAATAGAAAGTTTCCTAGTGAAATTTTCATTGTCAATGCTTTGAGAACTTGGGACCAGAAAGCTGGAACTACAGTTCACTTAACAGTGTTGCATTTAAAAAAAAAAAAAAAAGCCACTGAACATACCTCAAATTTTCGCTTGTGAACTAAGTATTTCACTAAATGTTAAGAACAAGTTTACAAATGTGCTTATATATAAAATACATTTTGTAGATTTTGTTAATCCCTTAAAAGAAAACAAAAAAAACCTCAGCAGAGGGGGAGAAAAAAATAAATCTAATGCAAAGGATTCTCTTCCATTAATGTCAGTCACCAAAAACACAATAAAATTTACACATGAAATTGAAAATGATAGTGTTTACAAATGCACACAACTTTGAGCAAAAGCTTTACAAATCCTTCATACCATACAAAGTAGATGAGGAAATAATGCAAATTCATTTTCACCTCAAAGCTAGTTCTTATGAGAAAACTTGCAGGAAAAGAGGTATGAATATTTCACAGAACATATTTTCAAAAATTGTTTAAAAACCCAAACTCCAATGCCCAGAACAAGATGAACAATATGCTTAGCAGTTAGCACTGTTAATAAATCTCAGATACACAAAAATCAAGTTCCAGAGAGCAAAGCATTTAATTACATTTCACAACAAGAAAAGCACTGTTGTGATTCAACCAAATATGAAACAAAGTTCTCTCCAATTTCTATACAAACCACTATTTTCTTAATTTATTTAATTTGATGAACAATGAAATCACGTTTTCCTCTCAGCATTTATCTAAGATGCAGAAATAACAAAGTAGTTGCAATAAAAGTATGAGATATTTAATAAGAATTACGAACATATAACCAAAATAAAATGTAAAAAAAGACAAAACTTTCATCTTTAAACAACCCATTTTTCTAAAATGAAAATAGTCGGCTTTCCAATGGGGAAAATAATCTGCAGTCGAAATAAGACTCCCAAGCAGCGCTGAAGTTTTTTGCACTCTGTCTTTGGAATGAGAAATAATTACTTAACAGAAAACTTATATTGAACAGCATATACAACATCATATTGCTTTTTTAGTTGAGGAGGCAGTATCTAGCGATCTGTCAAAGCAAATATATATTCATGAATTATCAAAAGACCCACAACACAACCATGTCTTCTTTGAAACTCTAAACAACCCTTTCCTTAAACAAAATATCCTATACTGTCAATCCTCTAAAATTATAGGGATGAAAAGGCTTTCCAAATCTTATCACACCAATGAAACTGTTGCCACTCTTAACTCTAAATTACCACGACGCTGTATATCAGTGTTTCTCTGACTTGCAACACCAAAAAGGCACTGTTATCTTTTTAAATAGTAAATATTTCTTTTAGAAGGTTGACCCCTTTGTAAGTACACTGATTTAAAGGAAATGTTGGGAATGTTTCGAACCAAGACAGGTCAATGTAAAAGATAAATTTTGGTTTCATGATCTCTCACCAATCTCCCATTCTACATGTTTATAATATAATATGACACATCCTTAGAGCATTTTAACTGAGAAAGAAAGTAGCCATAAATAGAGACTTTTGTGGCAGTGAGCAGGATGTTGTAAGGCAAATGTTTTCATGACAAGGACACTTACCAACCAGAACCCATGTGGTCCTCCTGCCTTACTGTCCTGAATGCCAAAGAAGGGAGTATAAAAGGGAAAGGAATCTCAATTCTCTTCCATCTGGTAGTTGCACTTATACTCTGTATATGAAGAATTTTTACAAACGGGCTCCTGATCAAACAGCTAGACCTAAGTCTCCAAGTAACAGGATTAAATGCATATAAATCTACAGACCAGCTTACGGCTCTTTCATTCTGTAACACTATTACTAACAAAGCTAACAATTTCAAGTACAGTTTAAACGCTCTGGATATAGTATAATGCTCCTTCTTATGAATGGACCCTTTTTGTTTACAGACCAAAATTTCACATAAATTTGGGATACAAGGAAATTGCAAGAATACTAGTCCTCCATAGATAGGACTTCAAATAAAGCACCTTAAACAATGATTATTATCAATGGTTTCTGGTTTTTGAGGCCATCCAAGCAACATGAATAATTTTTAAACTGACTGACTAAAGCTTGACGGTCAAACCAAAAAGGCTCTGGTGGGTAAAGGACTCCATATTTTATTTTTGTGGCATAAGTCTTATTCCACACAGTTTTAAGTGTGACATTAGAAATCAAAGTTCAAGGTTATAGCACAAACCAAGTGTGGAGTTTTATGTTAGAAGAACAACAAAAAAAAACAGTTCTGCTCATTTACAAATGAGTCAATTAGGCAAACAAAGCAGCAACTTCAGAAGCAGGACTGTCTATACAGCAATAACCCTCAAGAAGCAATAAAGGTACATACAGTGAATCTGTATACAGAGATTTTATTTAATTTTAAAAGAAAATGAAGACTTTAGACAAAGCTTTGATCCTATAACAAAGCAAATCTGTCCAGCTTTAAACCAAATTCCAATAGTAGCCAACTTCTATTTTTCAGCAGCTGGCAAGAACACCCTTAATGAGCTCTATTGACATTTCTATTTTCTTCATCCCATATGGTATAAAACAAAACCAATCTAGACTCCTTGATAAGCTTTATGTGGTCATTTGAATTTTACAAATAGGTTCTCTAATGGTATGCCAAAATCATTTTTGTGTTCTCTCCAGATAGCTTTACTGTAACAAACAGCAATGTTTATCCTGGTAGTGAGTCTTCTGTAAACAGTCAACCAATACTATATGTTATGAAAACCAATCTATATGCAATTGAAACAATCCACAGGTTCTAACCTGGAAATACTAGGAAAACAATCTGGATGCATTAATCACAGCACTATGAAGAGCTACCTTATAAAGAACTGATGTGAATAGCTACCCTAATACAAGTTTTACTTTCCTTGAGCCAATAGGCCTGTCATTTAAATCAATGACAGCAGCTGTGGCCTCATCCCGAGATTCGAAGGCTACCATGGCTTCGCCTGTGGGCATACCTTTTTCATTGTATTTTAAACACACTGAGCCTGGGATCACTTGATAGCCATAAAAGAAATCTAAAATTTCATCAATAGACACAGTGAAGGGCATATTCTGTACTTTAATCACTGTTGGTCCTGGTTTTCCAGAACTAGATCCAAAGCCAGGGGGACCACCAATGTGGATTGGGCCAGGACCAGGACCTGGGCCAGGTCCAAAGGCTGGTGGCCCACTCAAATGCCCAGGGGCACCTGCAAGACCAGGAGGGCCGCTTCCAAAACCAGGGGGGCCACCTAAGCTACCAGGGCCATTTCCAAAATTCTGGGGGCCCCCTCCAAATCCTGGCCCACTTAAATTATTTGGTCCACCTCCAAAACCTGGAACATCCAGTCCTAGACCAGGCAAACCACTATTTCCAACTGAAGGCATACCAGGTCTAGCGTCACCAAAGGCCCCTCCTAATCCTGGAGGAGGTAGTGGTGGGCCAAAGGCATTTGACCCACTGAAATTACCAGGAAAGTTAAATGGAGGCCCATTATTGGCCTCCTTAGATCCTACAGTCAGGAAGGCATGCTCTTCACCTCCTGCACTAGGCAGTCCAGCATTGGGCATTCCTGCATTTGGCATTCCTGCACCGGGCATCCCAGTACTGGGCATTCCAGTACCGGGCATCCCAGCTCCAGGCATCCCTGCACCGGGCATCCCCGCACCAGGCATCCCCGCACCGGGCATCCCAGCACCGGGCATCCCAGCACCGGGCATTCCAGCATTAGGCATTCCAGCAGTGGGAATTCCAGCAGTGGGTATTCCTGCAGCAGGCATTCCTGCACTAGGCATTCCCACAGTGGGCATTCCTGGAACTGCAGGATTACCTGGCACAGGCATCTTTAACCCCTTTTTTCCTTGGGCAGGAGGATTTTTCTCAATTTCTCTCATATCTTCTAGAGTAACTACATGAACAAAAGCTTCTCTCCCATTAAGTTTTTTACGGTGTAAGCGTTCAGACTTACGTGCATCATCTTCATTTTTAAACTGAACCAATGCCTGTCCTAGACCTTGCCCATTGTTATCAACAAGAACATGTACAGCATTTTCATCCACTGGGATTCCTTCTAGGAACTGAAGAACATCCATCTTGGTAATGCTGAATGGAATATTTGTTATGTGGGCACAAACTTTGGCAGAGTTGACATCACCCTCTGGGTTTAACATCATTTCTCTCTGGTCATAGCTGAAGTTCTGTAGTCTTTTTCGAATCATATCTATTTTTTCTAGCATACCTTTCTTAGTAATTGGATGAACTTGAATAAAACGATTGCCCATGTACTGTTTATGACGACACAGAGCAGCTTTATAGTCAGCCTCATTCCTGAACTCTACAAAGCCTTCACCAGTTGCTTTCCCATTGGGTCCATAAGCGATATAAATACTATCTTCCACAATATCCAACTTTTTAAAAAAATCAATGACATGTTTGTTTTCCGCTTCAAATGGTAGCCCTTTCAAGTAAACACAAAAACCAGCCTCATGCGGTGATCTTGACCTTGACCTTTTCTGCCCACTGGGCGATTTTGACCTGGGAATTGTCTGAGGAGAGGGATGGGTTTGTCCAGAAGGTCCCATACTTTGCTTAAAAGTGATATGGCCTCCAGCAGCTACCCACTGTCTCTCTGTGGCAGGGCTAACTTCAACATAGCGTTGAATCATCAGCATTCTGTTTCGTTTCAAAGCTTCAAATGTATCTTGAGGGGAGAGAAACTTAACCAATCCATTCCCATTATTTCGACCTACATGATCTTTCAACAAATGTACTGCATCAACACGGAGCCCATGGAAAAAATCTCTGACATCACTTTCCATTGCAGAAAAGGGCATTCCGTGTACACTGACATACAGATCATCAGGGTTGATGGGAAGTGGCTTCCCACTACTTTGAGAGTTCATCTGGATAGGGTTAACAGGATTCAATGGACCCAGGAACACAGGATTCAGATTATTGTTCAGATTCATAGGTGCTCCAGAACCATTCATTCCAGCAGGTAGTGGTGCCACAGGTGGTGGGTTTAAGGGTGGCATGCCCGATATGGGTGGCAGTGGAGTCATGGGTGGCACAGAAGGTACTGGGGGAATTGGGGGTACAGGAGGCACAGGAGGTAATGTAGGTACTGGAGGAGGAACTGGTATTGGGGGAATAGATGGCATTGGTGGCAGAGATGGCATCGCTGGAATTGGAGGAATTGGTGGCGGTGGGACTGTGTTCATTGGAGAGGCTGTGCTTGGAATGGTTGAGCTAAATGTTGGGCTCCCAAAGGAACCCCCCATATTTGGAGGAGCTGTTCCTATGCTGGCTGTGGAAAATGTCTGTATATTTTTGTTGCTTTCATGAACAGAAGTAGCAGCAGTAACTACACTGGGTGAAGGATTATTAAAGTTGGGTACTGTTGTAGGCAAGTTTACCCTGCCACTCATTCCTGAGCTAGGCGGCGGTCCTGATCTACTAGCATTTGCTGGTGGCATATCTAAGTTGGCAGTTTCGAAACGCCTACGACTCAGTTCAATCATATTCTGCATTTCTGTTTTACTACTCAACAATAGTGTTACTTTTGACCCTTTAATGGTACCACCTGTGCGCATCATACCAAGCCTTGCATCTTCATCAGTGGCAAAAACGATGAAAGCCTCACCCAGTTCACCCCCTACAATATGCACGCCCCCATCAGGGATGGTCAATCCAGAGAAGAAGTGGCGAATGTCCATGGTCCCCGCCACAATTGGGAGACCTTGCAAACGGATGACCACAGCCATGCTGCGCTGAAACCACACACACCTGCAGATGAGAAAAGGCAACGGCCAGGTCAGACTCCTGTTTATTATACCAAGTTTTAAGCTATAAGAATGACCAGCCCTCAAATATTAGGCCCTCAAATATTCCCTCAAACTATTAAAAGCAATGTCATTTTAAAATATGGATATTCTAAAAATTGAACATTTTATGTGCCATTAACAATGTAAAACCCAAATTAGAAATTAGTCCCAAGACTCAAAAGTTTCAGGAAGAAACAACCACAGGAGAGTAAGATCACCAATTACATCATTCACATCACTAATTATTTCAGTAAGCTCTAAAAGAAATGTGTAAGTAAAATTAAGGAAAAAAGTTTAACGATCTATAGGGGAAAAATAAGCAAAGGCTGTATCAAAGTTAGTATGTAACGCTGGCTTTACATCTTTGGAAACTCGACACCTTCACTGAATTCAGTGTCACTTTATATGCCTCAATCTCAAAATCCTACAGGAACAGAAAACTGAAACACTAATGAATCATACATAATACTTAATGCTAAAGTAGATTTAGGTTTCAAATGAGAACTGATTCCATATTTCATCCTAAAACTCTTTAATCTACCTTATAGGTTTGTTTATTAAAGAGATATTGAAAGGAATGGTATATGGAATTATTAGAAAACTAATATATACTAAGGTTTCACAAGAAATACCGGATAAAATAAACAAAATCTTAGTCACATATATTTGTCACTCCAAAATGTAGACTATGGTTACAGTGCCATTTCACCAGAGATGTTTTAATTAAAACTCAGGTCCAATGACTTATCCCCCAAATCCTCTGTTTAAAAAAAAAATTATTTCCCCCCCCAGAGGGGACAGTCGTTAATGATTAAGAGGCAATATTTGTTTTTGCTTTTGTTTTAGAATACTAGGGCATAACATTTATTCAATGATTCTTATAGTCTTTGACTCAACATAACACCTATTGGAATTTCTGGGTACTCACTGATCTACTTAGATAATGCCCATTTTGGTCTAATCAAAAGAAAAGTTCCCCCTCAGATACAAATCAAATTTCCATTCTAATAGCTTCTTAAGAATAAATGGAAAGGCAGCCCATTGCAAAACAAGGTCTTGGAACTGGAAAAACACTAATTTGAAATTTATGTCATCAATAATATAGTTTTTCAAGCCTCCTTAAAAATCAACTTTTAAATATAAATCTATTAAATTGGTTCTGTGACCGAAGAGAAATTACAAATTATTTGATCTTTGGTTTTATCACTTCTCCAATGAGAACATTAGGAGAACAAAGTTTATTACTGCAACTCTTAGAGTTTTCTAAAGAAAGCACTTATTCAATGTCAAATACTTTTTATACATTTACTTGAGTGTTTAGGAGTCAGCCTCAATGTCAAATATTGTATGACTACTAATTTGATGCAATAAAATCTATCTTAATAGTATGACTGCTGCACACAAGAGAAATTTTCTCAAACATACACAAAGATAAGTCATCTTCAAATTTAATCAAGAAAGATGAACTCAAACAAAAAGGTTTTTGTGAGACTATTATATCATAAAACACTAGAAATTTGGAAGGGAGGAAGCTTTTCATTTTTGGCCAAGAGTCAACAAGAAAAATTAATAGTAAAAAACATCACACCAGCACTCTTTTATCCTTATTTACTAATTAACAGTCTATAAGGAAGCTCATCAAGAAATTCCAAGTTATTAAATGAAATTCTCTTTCCTTACTGACTCCAAAATATTAGTCATATGCAAAACTGAGATAGCATTCCAGTTCAAAAAATGCTCAATTACTTAATCACTACATGGGAGAAATGTCACAGGGATCATAGGTACCCAAAACGACTTGAGAGAGAAATTGTTAATTTGCATGGAGACAATAAAACGGGAACTTGGCATGGTCTCAAGAAAACAAAAATTAAACACAGGACTAAAATGACACACACACTAAGTCTTCAAACCATTTGCAAAAAGAAGGAATTTAGTGGAATTCGATACCAACTATACATGAAAACATGATACTGTAAATCTGCCCAGATTACCAGCTAGAATAGAGTTGAGCATTAAACCAAAGTGGAGCACAAGATTTATTCATAGAGCCATCTTAAGAGGAAATAGTTTTAGGTTCTGAAAACTATGAAAGAAGATCTGCAATTCTGATACTAAGTGTCTGTTCGACAGGCAAGTCTTTTCAATCTTGAGTCTACCTAAGTTATGTAAACAAAAAGGTAGATTCCAGTCACTATAGATTCCATGTGAAGTCAAAATTTGTACTCTAAAACAAATGACCCATTGGCTTAACCTATACCTCTAAGGAATATTTATAAACCGTATCAATAACAAGCACCTATATTTGCAATTAGCCTAGAATGCTCTGAGGAAAAGACAGCTACTTGACTGCCTAACAATCAGGAATACAGCAGGAGAAATACAGCCATATAAAGCTGACCCCCAAAGGAAACAACTGTTCAAGGCACCCAGTCCAATCCACCCCCATCCCTCAGATAAGCTTTTTTAAAAAACAAAAACAATTTAGTTACTACATATTTTCATGTTATTTAATAAGCTATCTCATTTTATTTGTGTAGAAACATACCCTCTATTCAAAATCTCTTACCTGATAAAACAAGAGATGTATTTTCTTAACAAGAAGTAGAGGCCAAGTCAATCCTGTGGGCAACCAATTAAAACCAACTTTTAGACTGCAATAGAGAATAAACGGAGGCAAAAATCAATGCAGGAAACACAAACACGCACAGGCCACACTGAACTGTATATTACGAAGGCGAGTCTGAAGCCACCAGAGTACTTCATTGGAATGCATTATCAAAAAAAGGAAAAAAATTAAGAAAGATGTACCAAAATTCCACAATGCTTATTTATTATTTGGTGTTATTTTCAAATTTGAATATTTCTGAAAACACTATATATTTACACACTCAGAAATGTGTCAGAATTAGCACATGAATGAATCAATTAAAAAACTAAGTCATAAATGCTCAACTTCACACAGGAACTGCTTTTATCACCTGATGATTAAACCAGTCCAGAAAATTTTATAACACAAGTCCAACTGCTACCTAGGTTTCCACTAAATTTTCGATGAAAACCCACAAGTTTGCACAACAACAGTTCCTGACAAAATAAATCATCAATTCACGGATACTTATGGAAATTACTGTGATTAATCTTTCATTATATTTTCTTTTGCACCAAAACAGAATCAAAACAAAAAACAAATGAAGCAAAAGTACTGGCTGTAAGGGCTAATTTCTAGGTAAAACCACTAGGTTCAAAATAGTAAGGAGTACTTTTTCTTCTAACAGTAAAAGGTACAAGAAACTTGTAAAAATAAAAAATCCCCTAATACATCGGCATATTAAGAGTATTTCTCAAAGTAAAACAGATCACTCATCTGTCACTGGAATTTCTCCCAAAACGGTGATGTTATGAACAATTCACAAGCAATGTACATGACCACATGATCAGACAACTATGTTCAAAGAGTCATTTTTTAATTCAGAGAAACAGAAAAAAAATTGTTAGGCATTAAGATTCCTTAATGATGCTTAATGATACGTAAAATGATGCTCAGTTCAACTACTAACAAGATACCAGCAGTGAGCTTAATATCATCAAAAAGTAAAACATTAAAAAAATTTAGTGTTACTCCAAACCTTTCTAAAGAACAAGGCTAAACATGTTCCAAACAACTATTCAAATTACTAAAAAACAGAGTGTTTTGCCACAAAACATTACTCAAATGTCACTGACAACACTTCAAAAGCCCAGAGCAATTTATCAATACTTTTGTATATTGCACAAATCAATCCTAATTAAAGTCTAAAGAGTTTGAAACTCTTCATTTAAAAGCTACATTAGGAGTTTACCTAGTGGGTCACAAAGGGGAATGAGACAAAAAAAAGCTCTTTTATGTAAAGGATAAATCCAATGAGGAAAGTGTGAATTACTGCAATATTTATTTTTACATTCTGAAAGAACAGGTTTATTAGGAAAAGGAGAAAGGGCGGGCAGGGGAACACCTGAAAAGACACACGTGGGCAGAGAGCTTCTGCTGCTCTATTTGCTTCTAAATGTACAGGTTTGACTCTATGAGCTACAAGCGTGTAATTTCCTAGGTAAGCATGTAAGACAAACTGTTGACGCCCAAATGGAGATACCAATTCAAAAGGTCTGGTGTGGGATCAGGACATGTGCCCTGAAGGTAAAGGAAACCGGTTCCTTGGCCTTTTTTTTTTTCTTCTAGACCCAAGAAAGCACTGTATGTCCACAAGAGGAACAATTTCCCGGTCAGTCAGTTAAGTCCAAAGGAAACACACCAGGTCAACTCTAATAAATTTCTACATGGTTGCCAGAGATTACTGTAACAATTAGGAATTGTAGCAGCCTCCTTGTGAGCAGGGGTTAAAGACAGCACTATCAAGCTACTGCCAGCCACTACAGCACCAGTTCCATCCCGGAAGGGCCAGGGAGCTTAACCCACATGGCACTGCAGACCTCTCCTGTCTTGCCCACTGCACCCCTCAGCAGTGAATTTCAGTAGATCTTCCTATTCTGCTCCACTCTCTCCTTGGTGTATCCTCTCAACGCCCCCCCACACCTCTGACTTACACCCCAGTTCTTGTATGCAGAAATAAATAAATCTTTAAACACACACACACACACACACAATGAGGAATTGTCTCATTCCACAGGAAAAGCTGAAAGGCCCAGTTCAAATTTACATGTTCAATTTAAAGTACAAAATCAATCTAGACATAAATTTGGGAGTCTTCTATTTCAGAAAAAGAGATGCCCCAACTCTCTCCATACCAAAGAAAAGTATGTTGAAAGTTCAGGCAAGAAGCCTGACAACTCATGGTGTCCCATCTCTTCAAATAGGCAAAGTAGAAAGAAACTAAGAAGTGAAATGCTTTCCTTTTCAACACCTCATTTTTGTAAAAACCACAATAATTTAACAGATGTATCACTGGTTTTCAGGAACCTTCACATTCCTGTGTTCTAAATATAAGTTAGAAACCAAATGAATGCAGGATACCAACCAAAATGAAAATCACCTTAAGTTTTAGTGAATTTTAGAAGATAATACTGAAATAATTGTATGCAACAAAACATAGAAAATACACGTTTACCTACACATAAAGGATAAGGGTAGAGGAGGAAAATATGGGACTGATTTGCCATTAAATACACTGACACATCTGAGAAGCTCTAAAATGAGAAACTTGCATTAATCTATTTTTCTACTTTGTGTTCTGAATTAGTCCTAACCTAAGTTGTGTTGCTTCAGCTTTACAAATATAGGTACATGCACAAATTACAAATTTAGCATATTATTAAGACAAGACAGATCTCCTTATATATTAGTCTCTGCAATCTCTTGAAATTTCAGAACGTCTGACAATAATACTCTTTGTCAGGAAGCTAAGGCACAAACTAAAACTTGACCATTTCCACTCTTCAGTTGGTAACGAACATCCAAAAATGGGCCTCCCTCGTGGCTCAAGGGGTTAAGCACTGCACTATGAAACAATCAGCAGCGCGTCTGCGGCACGAGTTCGATCCCTGGCCGGCCAGGGAGATTCCCACATGGCGAGGCAGACCTCTCCTGTCTCACCTGCTGCTCCCCTTGGCAGTAAACTTCAGTCAGTCTGCCAGTTCTGTTCCCCACTCTATCTCTGGTGAATCCTCTTACCACCCTGCACCTCTGGCCTGTACCCCAGCTTGTATGCATAAATAAATAAATCTTAAAAAAAATCCAAAAGTAAAATTTAACTTGTCTAGTTATCAATATTTAATCAAGAACGAAGATACTACACAGCTAAAAAGGAAGCACTTGTCTCATATTTACCTCAGAGATGAGTAAGACAGAACAAATCATAATAGGCACAATGCTACAAGCAATAATCACATTATGGTAGGCATTATAAAAAATAACAACACAGCTTTGTCCATTTGATTTTGCCCCCATCCCAAATGGATCACATTTTAGATTCTGGGATGATTCTTACTGATACAATTCTTCCCATGCTGACTGAAATGTATCCCTTTTGTAGCACATTACTCAACTTTTCCATCAAACTACAGTCAGTACTCAAAACACATTTCTAATTAAAATATTTATTTCCTCCTTGAAAAAGACATTATTTTTCAAACCCACCCCAGCAAACACCAACAAAAATGTTCACTATCATCTTCATTTAAATTTTAAAGCCTTAAAGCAACACATTATTTCTAACCTAGTTCACCATATTCACCTTCTCTATTGGTGTTAAGGATTAAAAGCTGGCTTTAAACTTAATGCACTGATAAATTTAATGAACTCTACGCAAACCAAAGGGTACTGGTGGTGGTATTAAAATCTGATAAAAAAAACTAGCTGGAGCTGCTTTTCTGCTTAGTTGACCTAAAACATTTAACAATATCAATTTAGTCTATTAACATTGATTAAGCACTCGTGGGAAAGGCAAGAGATTAAAAAAAAAAAAAAGAAAACAGTCCTGCAAAGAAAGGATATCCAAAGGCATCTTTTGTGCAACCAAATCACTGACACTTAGAAGTTCTTACTACAGCATCTACAGAAGAAAATAATCATCTAAACTGAATGAAATGGCTTTCTACAAAAGGGAATAAAAACAGTTGAATACTGCCACTGGATTTCAGTACCTAGAACACACTGGCCGACAAAATCAAGTTTCGAATCTAAAAATTGTACCAACCCCCAAACTCTAAATATGCAATAATCAAAACATTTGGCATGTCAAAGAAAGTGAAAGAAGCCTGAAGCATACCGATATTAACACATAACAATATGTCCAAATACTACCACAATGGTTTCTAGAGCTCCACATTTTTCACCTGACAGATACGAACATTAAAAAAAATTGAAATTATGCATTACAAACCATAAATAACCAATATTTAATGAAGCATACAAAGGTGACATAAAAATGCATTCCGTTTTGTAAAACATTTCTTCAGTAATACCAAGCACATCCTCAACTTTTATATAAACACGCCAAACATTTCATTTTCTTGAAAAATTACCACCTGTAACAGTTCTTTCCGACTTCTTTTTAGTATTCTTGGAAACTTCCTAAACACAACTACTTTCTACCAAGTCCAGAAATCCTCCATTCTATTGAAGCTACCAAATTTCAAAAACAAGTACAACCAGTCTTGTATCATATTTCTATTATAAAAAAAAAAGGCAGAATCAGGCTGTATGTCCAGACTTGCGAATTTTTCAACTGTAAATGCTCTGAAATGCATCAACAATAAAAACAAATGCAAGGTCCAAGGCAATTCATGTTCCTAACACAGCATTTCACAAAAATTACTCCATTTTAAACCATTCAAGTAAGAAACTCTATTAAGAGAAATACTCCATTCACAAGTCTCTCCTTCAACCAATCTTTTGTTGCAATCACTTTTTTCCCAGCAGGTTATACTGACTGGCATCACCCTAATCTTGAATACAAAATGGTTCCTGCCAACTACCCCACTTCTCATTGGGTCATCTCTGGGAATCCAGGAGCAAGGAGGCTTTTAGGATCCAAAAATCTATGGAGGCTGCAACTCTCAGAAAACAAATTACAGACAATTAACGAATAACCCCATCGTAACGCTCACAGAAACCCCTCACACTTCTCACTATAAAATACACATTGGAGGCTCACTTAAGTCCATTCACTAACAATCTAACAGCTAAGCCTCCAGCACTAGGGTACAGTTACTAACCTGTAGACCCTCCCACCCATTCATTTCACGTGGTTGCAAACTAGCAATCCAGTCTTCACTAGAGAAATTCAATTCCCTCTCCATCAATAACACCGACCCTCCACCTCCCTTGGACACTCTTTCAGTGCTCGAGGCTCTCCCAGGGGAGATGTAAAGGTGCTGCTCATAGCAGTCCCTTCCCTACTTGGGGACAAAGACTTAGAGTTAGCATCTTATTACAATTTTCAGGGACCTGGGAAGCAGAATATGCCCCGTTTACTCGCTGCAAAGGCCGGCTACTCAAAACTACCTACAACCACTAGGATAAAGCCCTTCCTAGCATTTCACTGAATTTTCTACTTTCAGGCCACGAAGGTGGCCGGTATGCGACTTCCTTCCTAGACGCACAGGAGCGTACCGACTACAGCTTCCTCCCCACAGGTGTGGCCAGATTGTAGTCTCCGTTTTCTGGTAGGCCACAGGGGCCTCCTTTCTACTTCGGGAGGGGGCGGGGGTGGGAGTGTCCTCGCTAAGAACATCTCATACAGGGGGCAAAGCTGTAGTTACAATATCTATTCCATTTGGAGGCATAGAAAATCCTGCTCATTGGGAGGTGTGTTTTCACTATAGTTAGTGCGCTGGCTGCCGGGCCACCCAGCTCTGGCTTCCTCCCTCTCACACCATGGGGGCGTCCTCGCTATGGCCTCGACCCCACTTCGGTAAGCAGGCTCATTCTCTTGCGCCCTTCTTGTAGCCCCTCAGGCTTCAGAGGCGCATGTGGCGCCCCAGGCCCCCCGCAGCCATGCCCGACCTTTTGTGTGGGGCGCTCGCTGCGGCGGGCTCGGAGGCCTCCGAAGGCCCCGCCCCGGGCCACCAAGGGGCGGCTCGAGCCCCGCACAGCCCCGCCCGTTCCGGGGCTGCGGGAGTCTTACCGGGGAGAGCTGCGCGGTACCCGCACCCAGACCCGAATTACCCCCCACGCGAGTGCCTCCGCCCCGCGGCCGACAGCCCCAGCCCGAACGGCTTCCCGGAGCCCACAGCAGCAACCACCTCCTTCGCCGCTTCACAAAATGGCCGCCGACCCGCTCAGCAGCTCTGCGTTCCAGAAGGGGCGGCTGGAATGGTGACGTCATGGGGAGGGGCCGCGCAAGCGCGCTGATGTTTTAAGGCATTCTCCGGAAGTTGGGGCTGTTTGTGGCGGAGGCGGGGCGTGCTTTGAATCCCTGCTGGCGGCTCCTGCGCATTAATCTGGCTTTAGGAGACTGACCCTAGGCGATGGGGCAGGTATGAGTATCTGCTTCTGCCCCTTTGCGGGAATGTGCAAATTACTTTCTCGTTAACCCCTCCACAGTTACACATTAGTATCATTCATTATGGAAAAATTCATCGTTTGGCCTCCTTGGTGGCCTAGAGACTGAATCAGCGCCATCACGCTATCGCAGCTTAGACGGTAGTTCGATCCCCAGCCAGGGAGCTAACGAGAGGTCTCTGCAGATAGCGCCTGTCTCGCCCAGTGCTCCCCTCAGCAATGTATTTCAGTAGATCTGGCTGTTCTCCCCACTGTCTCTGGTGAATCTTTACACACACACACACACACACACACACACACACACACACGTCTGGCCTCCACTCCAGTTCTTCTATGCATAAATTAAATAAAAAAAGTTAATTTCACTGTCATTTTGCTTAGGTCTTAGCCTCCCAGACTCCACTCCTCCAGCCTATATGCTCTATCTTGATGAATGTCAGTCACCCTAATTGAGCTCTTCCAAGTTAAAAACAAGTGAGGAGTTAACTAACAAATCAGGGACTAAATTTCCACACTGCAACAAGATTTGGTGAGATCTGTATAGCAATCTTGTGTGGTGCAAGCACACCACACCGAATAAGGTAACAGTAAAATTTGGAAATCAGGGCACAGTTTTAAACAAAACCTATGTAGTAAATCCTCACTTAATTTAACATCGTGGATAGAGTCTTAGTGATTTTGTGGGAAGGTTGATGGAAACGATGATTTTAAGCAAAAGGAAGGTACAAGTAAATCAAGTCCTCAAATAACATTACTAGGGACATCTGCCATGATTTTTTGACTCATCATAACAAAATGGTATTCAAACTCCTAGTATACTTTATTAGATAATATTCTCTGCAACTATAACTTGGTGCATTCAAAACAAAACCTACTAAATGCAATATGGTATTTAAAATTGAATCCTGAAACAGAAAAAAGATTAGTAAGTTAATGAAATCTGGAAAAAATTGTTTAATCATTATTTAATGATGTACGGATGTTTGCCTTTTTGACAAATTTTGAGTTAAAATTAAATTCAACAATGGATATGTGACTACTAACTCTATTCAAAATTAAAAAATTTATTAAAAATACAGGGCCTTCCTGATGGCGCAAAGGGTTAAGTCTCAGCACTATAAAGCTATTGGAAGCCACTGCAGGAGTTTGGTGCCTGGCCAGGGAGCTAGCCCACATGGTGTGGCTGACCCCTCCTGTCTCACCTTCTGCTCCCCTCAGCAGTATATTTCAGTCAATCTGCCTGTTCTGTTGCCCACTCTGTCTCTGGTGAATCCTCTCACTCGCCATACCTCTGGCCTGTACCCCGGTTCTTATATGCATAAATTTATTTCTATTTATTTGTGCATACAAGAACTGGGTGTGGACTGAGGTGCAGGGGTGGGGGAGTTAAAGGATTCATGAGGGGGGGCAATACCGGCATATTGACTGAAATACACTGCTGAAGGGAGCAGCAGGCAAGACAGGAGGTCTGCTGCACCGTGTGGGTTAGTTCCCTGTCTGGGGATCAAACTAGTGCCACAGTAGTTAAGGATAGCTTCATAGTGCTGACACTTAACCCATTGCACCACTAGGGAGACCCCTGTCAAGCTTTTTTGATCATTACCTACATATTACTAACCTGGTACACACATCCAAATATATTATCAAAGTAAAATGCCTAAAATATGTGTGCTGGGCTTTATTTTTTCTCACCCCACCCCGTTTTTGTGTGTGTCCTGGCAATTACCAAGCTATGGCTTCAGATCCACAAATGGAAAAACTCTACTCTGCACTGGCCTTCTATTGGTTTTTCCAACACAGTGTTCTTTCATATGTCAGGTCCATTGCTCTTTGCTGTTTCTTCTCATCCTTTATGCGTCTCTGTCTCTTTCCATGCCTGGAAATCGTATTTTTGCTTAAGTAATACCTCTTAAAAACACTTTCTAGTATTTCTAGTAGGAGCTCCTCTTTCTTGCATTTCCTCTCATGACTCTCTTTTTCAGCACTCATCACAATATTGAATAGCCTTATTTACTATTTTTTTTTTCTTTTTCAAGATTTATTTATGCATGTAATAACTGGGGTATAAGCCAGAGGTACGGGGGGTGAGAGGATTCACCAGAGACAATGGGGAGCAGAACAGGCATATCTACTGAAATACACTGCTGAAGGGAGCAGCGGGCGAGAGAGGAGAGGTCTGACTCGCCATGTGTGTTGCCCCCTGGCCGGCCGGAGATCAAACTCGTGCTGCAGTGGCTGGCAATAGCTTGATAGTGCTGTCTTTAACCCCTGCACCACAAGGGAGGCCCCTACTTTTTATTTTCTATTTCTCCACTAAATGAAAGCTCAGTGAGGTCAGTGCCCTTTTGATACTGTTAACCAGTATACCACCCTGCCCCCAAAACCCAGAATAATGTCAGCCTCTTGACAGGCACTTAAATAAATGGTAAATGAATGGTTATGCAAACAGACTGAGACATCTATGTATATCAAGTGTAGTGATAGGTAGTTTGCTTCAGAATTCCCAATCGTAGCTGGGAATTTTCCCTGAGCCTCTCATAAAGTCAGTGTAAACAAAGAAAGGTGATTTTATTTCTCTAATCTAAAAATTAATTTTTAAAGGAAATATAATTTATTAGAACAATGAATATAGTCATATAGATATTTCTAGATGTTAGGTGAAAAGAAAGGACATAAAAAACATAAAGGAGACAAGCCTTCTGAGAAACTTGCTGTTTGGTCTGCAGTCAATATGAAGTGGTGCCCTTGGGAACCACAAAAAGATTAAATTATAGTTGATTAAGCTTGTTCCTGAAGGAGTCAGTTTCACTGAGCAGCAGTAAGAGACAACTCAAATGTCCATGTAGAGCACTGGGGTCTTTTTCCCAATTCCTTTGGTTCTCCTCACCAAGCATACAGCAATATTGTAACAAATGTCCAAATGTCTCAGGATGAGAACATCTACCCACTGTAAGACCAGACAAGGACTCCTGGAGCAAAATGGTGAGCGTTGTTCCCCACTGAGTCAGAGGTAAGATAGTTCTGTATTTCTGTGTTGGAGATGGGCTGATGCTGAAGTCAACAGGGGTACAGCAATTTTGGTCTGAACATGGGGTAGCCACTAATATAAAAAGGATCCCAGATGTGCATGGGTCAGTGAGGCAGGAGGGGCCAGGCCAGCACAAAGTCAAGAGTTCCATTCTTCTAGTGTTGGGTCCACTTGATGCTCTTGAGGTCAATACCATCTTGCACCATCTCCCAGAGAGGGCTGCCAAAGACAAGAAGCATTGGATGAGTGAGGGCTTAGATAGGAAGCAGTCAACACTGGCTCCTAGGCCCTGATTTCTGACTTACCTTCATCTTCATGTCACTCCTCCATCTACTTTTCCTGACAAAACCAAGTATCAATGGTTACCAAATTTTTCCTAGCTGTTTGTAAATCCATCTCAGCTCTGGCCTCTCTCTGTCTGCCAACTAATAGTAAGATCTAGGTCCCCATGCTCAGCTTCAATGGGGACAACTCAATGAACATCAGGTATGAAAAATTCATGAATTTCTCATCTTACTTATGAGAGGGTATGAACATAATATCCCTGTGGGAACCAAGACCCTCAAGGCCTATGTAAACAGCAAGTTTCAACCTCTCTACTAGCCCCATTACTTTTCAGCATTTGTTTCTGGGTTTGATCCTAGTTTTCATCTAGGGTTAGAGTTTAGCCTGAAATCATCTGGGTATATACTATCCTTACCCCATTTCTGCCAGTTTCATCTTCCTAGAATTGGGTTGTGCTTCCAACATCCCTGGCTCCAATTCAAAAGGAGCTCTGGGATCTCAGTCCTGGGCATCCCAACTGCTGCTGAGAAGTCTCTGCAAAGGTCTGATCCCCTTCAGTTTAGATGCTGTAGATAATAATTTTCCCACACCAGATATTACTTGAGTGTTGTGACAGTGGCATTCTGTAGTCTGGATTACCACAGTTAATTTTCTTCTACCCAACTTAATCTATTCTCAGCTTATCCCTCCTCTTTACACCATCCATTCCCAACATATCTTTATAGTTATGACATTTTCCATACTTCCTTAGTCATCTCTTTCCTGTTCCTTCTCTTTAGGAAAAGACACTTATCAAAAGATAAGATTCTAGATGGGACCAAGCTGAACTCAGTTTGTAAAGTGTCAGAAAAAATAGGGTGAAGATGCTGAAGCAACACAAGAAGAATAAGGCTTACTGATACTAACATTGGCTCTAAACTAAAATGCTCTTTGAGGGCCTCCCCGATGGCACAGCGGTTAAGCGCTGGGTTGCAAAGCTGCCCGAAGCCTCCGCGGTGCCAGTTCGATCCCGGGCTGCTCCCCGGCCACCAGAGGAGGGTCCCACATGGCGCTCAGACCTCTCCTGCAGCCCGCTGCTCCCCTCAGCAGTGTACTTCGGTCCTTCTGCCTGCTCTGCTCCCCGCTCTGGCTCTGGTGAATTCTCTCACCCTCCCGCGCTTCTGACTGTACCCAGTGCTTGTATAAATAAATAAATAAATCTTTAAAAAAAAATGTTCTTTGAGTGTTACAGAGTACAGAACACCAAGCCAATGGAGGAATCCTTTGAATAAAAGACTATACAACTGTAGATATTTAAACAATACATGACACTGGGAAGGAAAACCCAGAACCCAGAAAGGCCTTGGAGAGCTCACGAAGGGAAGCAGGGAACTTGCTCACTCTCACCAAGTAGACCAAGAGAGTCTTAGAACCAGCACAGAGCTAAACTCTGAACAAAATCCACACCCCTCCATGTATCCTTGGAATAAGCTGAGATCTGTAGCTACTAGGAGAACCCTAGTGACAGGTAGGTTGACCTTTTATCTATAAGGTACCCTTATGAAAAAAAACTTGGGGTTTTTAATCTTTTGAGAGTCTGATGAAAATTATGGATGTCTTTCAAGGAAAATACACAATGGTACAACATTTAGCATATAATTTCAGGACTATCATCTGCCTCCTGCAATTCACCCACAAAATCAAAATTAAGAATCCCTGTCTTAAAGAATTTTTCTAAACTTAGTTCATAAATTACTAACTTAGTATTGACATTGCTGCAATGACCACTATCAAAACTACCAATAATGGGCCTCCCCAGTGGCACAGTGGGTTGAGCGCAGCGCTGTCTACAGCCTCTTCAGTGCAGGTTCGATTCCCAGCTGGCCAGGGAGATTCCCACATGGCGCAGCAGACCTCTCCTGTCGCGCCCGCTGCTCCCCTCAGCAGTGTATTTCATTTGTCTGCCTGTTCTGCTCCCCTCTCTGTCTCTGGTGAATCCTCTCACCCTCCTGTACTTCTGGCCTGTACCCCAGCTCTTGTATAAAAATAAATAAATCTTGGGCCTCCCCTCGTGGCACTGGCTGTTGAGCGCTGCGCTGTGAAGCTGTCCACAGCCTCTGGAGCGCAGGTTCGATCTCGGCCGGCTGGCGAGGGTCCCACATGGCGCAGCAGACTTCTCCTGTCATGCCCGCTGATCCCCTCAGCAGTGTACTTCATTAAGATTTATTTTTTTATTTATACAAGAGATGGCGTACAGGCCAGAGGCGTGGGAGGGTGAGAGGATTCACCAGAGACAGAGCAGGGAGCAGAACAGGCAGCAGACAGACTGAAAGCACTGCTGAGGGGAGTAGCAGGCGAGACAGGAGAGGTCTGCCGCGCCATGTGGGAATCTCCCTGGCCAGTGAGGAATCGAACCCACTGTGCAGTCTGCGGGCAGCTTCACAGTGCTATGCTCAACTCGCTGCACCACTGGGGAGGTCCAGTTCTTTAGTTTTTAAAAACACTTATTTACATTTTCTGACCACATGTAGCCTAGGAGATCCACTTTGTTGCTTTGTAGAACCTCTAAGTCCTAAAATTCAAGTATCCTCAAACTGGTTCTGAAAGTATGAAAGCATAACCTAAGGACAAGACACTGGGAACACTGCAATTTCTTCCAAAGGGTCTCTGGTACAAAAGTGCATACCTCATTTCTCGAAGACGCTTTACATGGTGAATACACTTTTCTGCTGTGTAGTCCACTTCTTCCTCTGTAGTGAAACGGCCGATGCCAAACCTGAAATAAGGCAAGGAAGAACAGCTCTCCATCAGAGCTTTGGAACTACAATAAATTCATTTGACAAATACTTAGTGAGGATCTGCTGCATAAGGAACATGAAGAGAATAGGGCCCATCCTTACTAGATCAGTTTCTCAGAACATGGTCTCTGGATCATTCAAATAAGAATTAACTGAGAAGTTTCCTACTCCTCCGCCAGAGACCAGGTGAATTAGAATCTTTAAGTATGGGATGCAGAAATTTACATCTTTCACCAACTCCTTAGTTAAGAGTCAATGAAGTCTGAAAACCGCTGCTCTAGAAATTTTCATGAAGAACCAAGAAGGAACAAGGAAAGCTAGGAGATGAAAAATGTAAGAGGATGCCTCTCATAAAAGTTGCTTCTCAACTGACTGACCTGATAGAAGAGTGAGCTAAATCCTCATCTGTGCCAATTGCTCGAAGGACATAAGAAGGCTCAAGGGATGCAGAAGTACAGGCACTGTAAAGAAAGACATAAAGCTTTGTTCAGTTCATCATCAACATCTGTGCTTAGCCACAAATTCCCATCCTCTTGACCATGGTTTCATACCATAGAGAAAAGGGAGACCTTCTAATCTGTCAGAAGCCAAAGGCTCAATGTAGCCTGCACTTTCTAGGATGTGAATCACTGGAAGATAACCTCCTTGAGCAAGGATACTGACAAAACATGATAGAGAATGATACCACATGAGTTAGTTCCCTCAAAAAGGCAGCAGAGGACCATGTGCTCACTCCCGTACAACCTAGTACACCATCTGCACAGTTTAGATGGCAACTAACCACTGGTGGTCTTTGGCACATCCTTCAGTTCCAGAAGTCTGTTACAGAAACGCAAATATAACACTAGAATAGACACATGCATCTCCTGGGTCCATAAAAGGCACAAAATGTGACCCAAGGAAACCTTCCTAGGGTGGCAAACCTCAGTCTGTGCACAGTCAACTAAAAAACTGTGGCTTACAGGGAGCCTCCCTGGTGGTGCAAGGGGTTTAAGTCACAGTACTATGAAGCTATCTGCAGCCACTACAGCATGGCATGAGTTCCATCCCCGGCTGGCCAGGGAGGTGACCCACATGGTGCAGCAGACCTCTCCTGTCTCGCTTGCTGCTCCCCTCAGCAGTGTATTTCAGTGGCTCAGCCTGTTTTGCTCCCCACTCTGCCTTTGGTGAATCCTCTCACCCCTCCCCCTCTGGCCTACACCCCAGCTCTTGTATGCATAAATGAATAATCTTTTAAAAAAAGGCAGTGGAAGCTTACAAAACGATTTTTACTTTTAACCAAGAACTCCTGTGCCTGTCATCTCCTTACCAGGAAGGTTAATAACCTGTTATGTCACTTAGAAATATACCTGATCCAACTCACCTCCCTGAAGATAAGGCGACATCCTTGAGAGCCATCAGCAGACTCTCCCCTTCCACATATGCAAAGGAGAGATTGATACAGCCTGAAAGGAAACAGTGCTACAAACTTTTAGATTATGACAACAGAATGGCGTTTACCAAAGGGGAAGGAGTGGGGCAGGAATGGGTAGGAGAAGCTGATTGGTTGCTGGTGGCTGTAGTGAGAAAATGTCATCTTGGAACCTACACAACATTTTAAACTAATGTTACCTCAATAAAAAAAAAAAGAAAGAAAAAGAAAGGGCTTGCAGCAAAAGTTGGAGTGGGTTGGTGACTAAGTCACACATGTCAATAGTTTGTTCATGTGTCCATGTCAAGTGGACAGTTGGGAAGGTGATTGGGACAGCAATGTAAAAACTGCTAAAGTGAGTGTTACCAAGCTTGTTCTGGATCCCTACTTACAAGTAATTTAATAAGCAGGAAACCTACTTTGCCCATGATGCTCTTCAGCAGTGCAGTTGGGGATATTATGCTTCTCATGGCTTTACCTGTTCCATGCACAAAGCATGTGAAACATGAACTGGCTGAGATTATTTCAAAGTTGGACAAGTCATAGATCCACTGACTGGAAAATCCTGTGCAGACACTACCTACCTGGAGAATATGATCAGTTTGAAAACCACCCAACTGGCCAAAAATCTGAAAGAACTTTGCTATCTCTTCAAAACTGTGAAGGTGGATTAGAAGAAGGTACCAAAGGTGAAGATTTGTAAGTTTGCTTTATGGAAAAATAAGTATCAGCACTGTGAGAGAAGTCTCAAGAGTCTTAGGCTCTCCCAGCATGGGGATAGAAAGGGTATACCCATACCTGGGTAATGGTGCTCAGGGTCTCCATTCATCACTACATCTGGAAGACTCTTCATTATCTTCTGTATCAGCCGTTCTGCTAACTTTGAGATCCGCTTGTGGTCATACTGAAAAGCAGGCAAGGGAGGACTAAGTATGCTATCAATTAACAGTAAGAAATACACAGAAGACTTTCTCCTGTAACCAGAAGTGACTGCACATTAGACCCACCTAGTGTCTTGAGTTACTCTTGCGGACCACCAAATCCCCAGTACTAAGCACAATGTTTGGTATGCATAGGTGCTCATGTGTTGGACATGAGTCCAACAGTCCAGAAACAAATAAGCTAGTAGTTACAGAAATGGCTTGGATTTTGGAGCCATGACACTTCCCTCAGAACAAGATGTCAGCAGCAATGGGACAACAATGCTTTTCTTAAACCTTCCCTGCTGGCAGACATCTGATTCGGTCATGCCAAGAAGCCTCTAAATAACAGGGGAAAGAAGTTGTGGGAGGGAAATGCTATCCTCATACCTCCATCTCTTGCTGTGCCACCTCACATGCAGCCCCTAGGCCCACCACCAAGGGTGTGGGTACTGTCCCAGACCGCATACCCCGCTCCTGCCCCCCTCCACTCTGCAGGGCTTCCACACGCACACGGGGCCGGCGGCGAATGTAGATGGCACCAACCCCTAGGAAACAAAGTTCATTATGAAAAAGAGAAAAAGAAAAGTGCACATAAATCAAAATACCACTTTCCAAAGGGGTCAAAATATTCTTTTCAACTTTTCTGTAAGCTTGAAACTTAAAAAAGAAAAAAAGTTGGAGGGAAAGAAGAAATATCAGTAAAAACACACTATCAAAATTATTTATCGGGAAGGTAAATACCAGAAGGAATAATGACCAAATGGCTTACTGGAAGCCATCTGAGATGAAATTAAGCCATATGAAATGAAATTAAGCAATGCAGCATTATTCAAAATAGCAAAAATATTGGAAACAACTTAGATGTTCAACATCAAGAGAATGGGCAAATAAGTTACCGTACATCTATTCAATGAAATACAAAGCAGGTGCATAAAAGAATGAAGAAGTTCCTTCTCTTTATCGCCACTGTACAAGTCAAACATTGCTAGAAAACTGGTGAAATCTGAATAGTCTATAGTTTTTAAAAAAAACATTCAAAAAACCTATGTGGAGGAGGGGAAATGTATATATATAACTGTATAAAATAATTCTATTATAGAACAATACTCAAGAAAATGCCTCCCCAGAGGGGAACTATAGGGCTGGGAGTCAGGGGGTGAAAGACTTTTCATCATGTACTTTTTTTTTTTTTTAAATACATTTTTTTTTTTAATAGAGGCATGTTGTATTTATTTATTTGTTTTGTTTGTTCGTTTTTGTTTTTTTTTTTGTTCATACATGCACTGGGTACAGTCAGAAGCGCAGGAGGGTGAGAGAATTCACCAGAGCCAGAGCGGGAAGCAGAGCAGGCAGAAGTACACAGCTGAGGGGAGCAGCGGGCGGCAGGAGAGGTCTGCACGCCATGTGGGACCCTCCTCTGGTGGCCGGGGAGCAGCCAGGGATTGAACTGGCGCCGCAGAGGCTGCAGGCAGCCTCGCAACCCAGCGCTCAACCACTGCGCCACCGGGGAGGCCCTCATCATGTACTTTTTTGTAGCTTCTGAATTTTGAAGCATGTGACTATATCATCTTTTCCAAACAGAATTTTAAAAAACGAGTAAGCTCTCAGGAAAAAAGGGAAAAGATCAGAATGAAAGTAAAACATTTGCATAAAATCCTAAGGTCTATGAAAATTTATTTAAACTATGTGTAACCTGTGACTCAGCAGGCCCACTCACAGGAACTTCACATCAAAATATGAGCAGGGCCTCCCTGGTGGCCTAGGAGTTAAGTCTCCTGCTATCAACACTATGGTCGGAGTTCAGTTCCCACCCATATATGGTGTAGCAGACCTCACCTGTCTTGTCTGTAGCTCCCCTGAGCCATGTAGCTCAGTAAATATGTCTGCTCTGCTCCCCATTCTGTCTTTGGTGAATCCTCTCACTACCCGCACCTCTGGCCTATACCTGAGTTCTACGCAAAAATAAAATCTTTATTAAAAAAATAAAACAAAACAAAATATGAGCAAAAATGGCCTAAGTAGCCAAGGATTTTTAAAAAGAGTGGGCACTTGAATAATGCAATTCATCTTCTGCCACACAGAATGAGTGCTGAGGCAGAGATTATAGTTACTATAAAAACTAAGGCAGGGTCTCCCTGGTGGCGGAAGGGTTAAGACGCAGCCTATGAAGCTATCCGCAGCCACTGCAGCATGAGTTCGATTCCCAGCCAGCCAGGGCGCAATCCACATGGTGCAGTAGACCTCTTGTGACTTACCCCACTGCTCCCCTCAGCAGTGTACTTCGGTCAATCTGCGTGTTCTGTTCCCCCCACTCTGTCTCTGGTGAATCCTCTCACCCCCACCCCCGACACCTCTGGCCTGTACCCCAGTTCTTGTGTGCATGGATAGATAAATCTTTAAGGAAAAAAAACAAAAACAAAAAACTAAGGCAGTGGCTCCCAAATTTATGATGAAGGACGCTAGTTTTAAAACTGTTTATGAATCAAACTGCATCTATTAAGAAAAACTTCATTTCCCCATTAAAAATAAAATCAAATTCATGTATCCCATATTATCTCAATCTCTCCTGTTCTCAATTTCAGAGAGCAAGTGCATAGATAGCATGACTAGATAGTAAAGGATATAGTCTTTTTTTTTTTTTTTAAAGATTTATTTATATGCACAAGAACTGGGGGTGTAGGCCAGAAGTGCAGGGGGTGAGAGGATTCACCAGAGACAGTGGGGAGCAGAACAGGCAGATCTATTGAAATACTCTGCTGAGGGGAGCAACAGGCAAGACAGGAGAGGTCTGTTGCACCATGCGGATTAGCTCTATGGCCGGGGATCAATCTTGTGCTGCAGTGGCTGCTGGCAGCTTCACAGTGCTGAGACTTTAACCTCTGCAAAACCAAGGAGGCACAGTAAAGGATATGGTCTTACTAAACCTACTTAGAGCCTGAGTTAGGAAAGCAGGAGTTCAGAGAATGACGAACAACTATATACTTTTTTTTTAAAGATTTATTTTTATTTATTTATTTTATTTATTTATACAAGCACTGGGTATAGTCAGAAGCGCGGGAGGGTAAGAGAATTCACCAGAACCAGAGCGGGGAGCAGAGCAGGCAAAAGGACCGAAGTACACTGCTGAGGGGAGCAGCGGGCGGCAGGAGAGGTCTGCGCGCCATGTAGGGCCCTCCTCCGGTGGCCAGGGAGCAGCCAGAGATCGAACTGGCGCTGCAGAGGCTGCAGGCAGCTTCGCAACCTAGCACTCAACCGCTGCGCCACCGGGGAGGCCCACAACTATATACTTTTAAGTGCTAATCAAAGTTTAACTCTGTACAATATGAGTTAATAGGTTTTATCAAAACAGATATACTTACAATAAAAGTCAAATAAGAACAACATTTTAGGGCCTCCCCAGTGGCACAGCGGTTGAGCGCTGGGTTGCAAAGCTGCCCGCAGCCTCTGCAGCAGCGGTTTGTGCCCCGGCTGCTCCCCGGCCACCAGAGGAGGGTCCCACATGGCGCGCAGACCTCTCCTGCCGCCCGCTGCTCCCCTCAGCAGTGTGCTTCGGTCCTTCTGCCTGCTCTGCTCCCCGCTCTGGCTCTGGTGAATTCTCTCACCCTCCCACGCTTCTGACTGTACCCAGTGCTTGTATGTATAAATAAATAAACCTTTAAAAAAAATTAAAAAAAAAAGAAAGAAATACATACAGTTTAAAAAAAAAAAACATTTTAGTTAAGCACCTATTGGGCTTTTTAAAATAATAGCTCACAAAAACACCCTTTACAAACTCTGGGAAGCTCTAGAAGAAGCTATCTTACTTCCAGGAGCTATCATACCCTTTCCTACAGAGTGTACACCCAAGTGGAAAGCTCTGGAGACATAGAAAGTGTACCACCATTACCAGACACCACAGGCCCTCAATCCAGAGACAGTGAAGTTGTTTTATGACTAACTCCATAAACAGAGAACAACAGTCTCTTGCCCAAGGATGGGACAAAGAGAATTCTAGCTGAACTCTATACAACTGGTCCATAGAAAATAGACAAGTGTGCTTGAGAGGCTAACTGACAGACTACTTAGTTTGGGAACAAACATTAAGAGATGGGAAAGCCCATAAAATTGTCCCCTAAGCTAAAGCAAGACACAGGGAATGAAAGACTCAAAAGAAATGTTGCTTGGCATATCATAGTGGGGTAAACAAGTCAGCTGAATTTATCTAGCTAAATTTGATGTGATAAACCCCCTTGTTCCTCAACCAAATTAACATTTATATGCTTTTGAAGTATTTTCTTTTTTTTTCTTTTCTTTTCTTTTTTTTTCTTTTGAAGTATTTTCTAAAGAGATCAGGGAAGGGCCTCTCCTGGTGGCACAGCAGTTGAGTGCTGGGCTGCGAAGCTGCTCAGCAGCCTCTGCAGTGCCGGTCCGATCCCAGGCCGCTGGCGAGGGTCCGACATGGCACGACAGATTTCTCCTGTCTCTCTTATCCTGTCTCACTCACTGCTCCCCTCAGCAGTGTGTTTTGTCGGTCTGCCTGCTGTTCTGTTCCCCCTCTGGCTCTGGTGAATTCTCTCACCCTCCCATGCTTCTGACTGTACCCAGTGCTTGTATAAATAAATACATCTTTAAAAAAAAAAAAAAGATCAGGGAAGAATAGTCTGCTATACAGTAACTGCTAGGTCTGTAACTAGGCAAGTGTTCTAAGCTATTACTTGCATTCTGCAAGACACTCTCAATGTACAACTTCCTCTCAAAGCAATGGTAGTCCCAAGGGAGTTCCAGGAATGTTGTCAGAGGGTTTGCTGGAAGGTATGAAGAAGGAGCTCAAGGAGGAGCTGATACCTTTGGGACCATAGAGTTTGTGACCACTGATACTCATGAGATCAATTTTCATGTCGTTGACATCAAGTGGGATTTTTCCAACAGCCTGGGCTGCATCAGTATGGAAATATACCTTTCTAGAACTGCAAATCCGTCCTGAGGAAACAAAAGAGGAGAAGAAACAGCACGATGTTGGAAAGCACCTTGAAATGGTCCACATTGTACCATGAATTCTAAGGCAAAACTACATCTGACATCAATCAGTGTCTAACCATATAGTAAATCACTTCTTTTCCTTTCTCTCCCTCATTCCCCAACTCACATCCCTGCCCCCTCCGCTCTAGGTTACTGGACTAGAAAAAGAACAAGTCAAAGCACCAAATCAAAACACCTCTAGTATTCTTTTCTCTTCTTTTTTCCTGAAAAAGGCATTATTACCTCTCTATTTTAAAGATAAGGAAATTGACGCATAGAGAGGTAAGGTTGCCTGTTTAGTTTACGGTGGATAGTGCCAGGCCAATGAAACTATATTCATTCTACCCCAGTGCCATGATTTCCTACCAGAAGTGCCCCAGATAATCTGATGCATAAGACTTTCTACTTCATTAATATTGGCCTCTCAATAATATATCAGATAAAGACATAGATCTTTTTTGATTTAAAGAAAGCAAAGATTGGGCCTCCCAGGTGGCGCAGCGGTTGAGCGCTGGGTTGCGAAGCTGCCCGCGGCCTCTGCGGCGCCGGTTCGATCCCCGGCTGCTCCCCAGCCACCGAAGGAGGGTCCCACATGGCGCGCAGACCTCTCCTGCCGCCCGTTGCTCCCCTCAGCAGTGTACTTCGGTCCTTCTGCCTGTTCTGCTCCCCGCTCCGGCTCTGGTGAATTCTCTCACCCTCCCGCACTTCTGACTGTACCCAGTGCATGTATAAACCAAACAAACAAACAAACAAACAAACAAATAGATAAATAAGACATGCCTCTAGAAAATTAAAAAAAAAAAAAAAAAAAAAGAAAGCAAAGATTAACAGATCTATTGGCTAATATGCCTAAGAGGCCACAGGGTGAGTTTCTGGCTCTAAGTGAATATAATAAGCAGATATGCTAAAGTGAAAAGGTGAAAGAAGGGGGAAAATGTGGAGGTTTCTTTGTTTTGCTTTCAGCAACAACTGCAGTAAAATGAAACAAACATCAACAATACAGGGTGAATTCAAATATTGGCTATGTATAAAATACAATGTATCATAGAACAATGAACTGAAGCTCTCTTTCCCTTTATTTCTTTTTTTTTTTATAGTTTTTTTTTTATAGAGGCATGTCTTTATTTATTTATTTATTTATTTTATTTGTTTGTTTGTTTTGTTTATACAAGCACTGGGTACAGTCAGAAGCGCGGGAGGGTGAGAGAATTCACCAGAGCCAGAGTGGGGAGCAGAGCAGGCAGAAGGACTGAAGTACACTGCTGAGGGGAGCAGCAGGTGGCAGGAGAGGTCTGCGCACCATGTGGGATCCTCCTCCAGTGGCCGGGGAGCAGCCGGGGATCGAACCGGTGCCGCAGAGGCCATGGGCAGCTTCGCAACCCAGCACTCAACCGCTGCGCCACCGGGGAGGCCCCCCTTTATTTCTTTACTGCACTCTACAAAGTATTACAGTTTCCAGTATACTCCTGCTCCTCAGATGGATCCTAGTGGTAACCAAGCAACAGGGTCCACCTGTGACACTCACCTATTTCCGCAATGGGCTGCTTCACACCAATTTCATTGTTCACAGTCATGACTGAGACCAGGCTGGTATCTGGCTGGATGGCAGCCTCAAGTTCCTAAGAATATCATGAGTAAAGAGATTATACAGTACCAATAAAATTCAGGATATAGGCTGGTTTAGTTTTGAAAAGGGGCCTTTCTCCACACACTTAGAATGATTTAATGTGACAACACAAAATGCTGGCAAGGATGAAAAAAAAATTGCATTATTCATACACACAGAATGTAAAATGGCACAGCCATATTGGAAAAGAGTTTGATAGTTTTTGTTTCTTATAAAACTAAAGATGAGGGCCTCCCCGGTGGCGCAGCGGTTGAGCGCTGGGTTGCAAAGCTGCCCGCGGCTTCTGCAGCGCCGGTTCAATCCCCGGCTGCTCCCCGGCCACCGGAGGAGGGTCCCGCATGGCGCGCAGACCTCTCCTGCCGCCCGCTGCTCCCCTCAGCAGTGTCCTTCGGTCCTTCTGCCTGCTCTGCTCCCCGCTCTGGCTCTGGTGGATTCTCTCACCCTCCCGCGCTTCTGACTGTACCCAGTGCTTGTATAAACAAATAAAAATAAATCTTTAAAAAAAAAAAAAAAAAAAAAAAGATGAAATCACCATGTGACCAGTAATTGGCTCTTGGATATTTATCTCAGGGAAATGAAAACTTACATTCACACACAAAAAATTTTATGTGCAAATATTCATCTAGATGTAGTTTTATTCATAATAGTCAAAACCTAGAAACAACCCAGATGTGAAAGGTTAATCTGTGGTGTTTTCTTAACATGGAATACTATTCAGCGATAACTGAGACATGCAAAATTTAAATAATTCACCAAAGACTTACGCTGAACAAGACATGAAGATCAAATTTATGATTTAAAAAAAAAAAAACACATGAAGCACACTAAGGTGATAAAAATGTATTCTGAATGTGATGATGCGTGCACAAAATTATTAATCAACCTACTTGTTACATTACAATCAACGTACCTGTTTTCCCTGACACTGATCAAACGTTAATTTTCAATGTCGTATTTCCCTCAGCTTCCTATTTGCCTTTTTCATATCATGTATCTCATTTCACAATTATGAACTTATATATATTTACAACCTGTGCCCTTTGCTAAAAAATAAGGTCCCTGAAAGCAAGAACAAAGCAGTCTTACTCATCTCTTTATTACCAGTATCTGGCACTATGGCAAAGTAAGAATTGCACAATCAAATGAAGACATAAGAAATAAAAATACAGAAAATATGCACTCCTAACATTCAAGAAACTTAGTTTAGTGGAGAATAGAAACAAAAATCATTAACTGAGAAAAAAGAGATTAAAGTGTCAGGGCAGGGCCTCCCTGGTGGCGCAGCGGTTGAGCGCTGGGTTGCGAAGCTGCCCGCAGCCTCTGCAGCGCTGTTTCGATCCCTGGCTGCTCCCCGGCCACCGGAGGAGGGTCCCACATGGCACGCAGACCTCTCCTGCCATCCGATGCTCCCCTCAGCAGTGTACTTCGGTCCTTCTGCATGCTCTGCTCCCCGCTCTGGCTCTGGTGAATTCTCTCACCCTCCCGCGCTTCTGACTGTAACCAGTGCTTGTATAAATAAATACATCTTCAAAAATAAAAAACTTGAAAAAAAAATAAAAAAATAAATTGTCAGGGCACTGTCTAAAAATTTCATCTTGGGAATTGTCATAGGATGGTAGTGCCCAACATTTGTTGGACAAGATATCTGGACTCAGGGGCCTCCCTGATGGCGCAGCGGGTTGAGTGCAGCGCTGTGAAACTGTCTGCAGCCTCTGCAGCATGAGTTTGATCCTGGCCAGCCAGTGAGATACCCACATGGCGTAGCAGACCTCTCCTGTCTCGCCTGCTGCTTCCCTCAGCAGTGTTTTCGGTCCATCTGCCTGTTCTGCTCCCCACTCTGTCTCTGGTGAATTCTCTTACCCTCCAGTACCTCTGGCCTGTCCCCCAGCTCTTGTATAAATAAATAAATCTTTTAAAAAAAAAAAAAAAGATGTCTGGACTCAGTGCCCAGGATGGACAAATAAAGAATATAGACCAAAAAGGAAAATACTCTGAAAAAAACTACCCTTCCTCCTTAGGGGGATGAGAGACATCAATAACAGTGCAGGGCAGAAAGAGGACAGAGTTTTGGCATGGTTGAGTGTGAGTTCCTAGCATCTTTCGCACATGCTCAGTGGCTGCCATATAAGACAGGAAGAACTGGCAAGCTGAGAAACATCTGTCAGAGAAAAAGACAATGGTACAACTCAAGGGGAACACATAGTTGGTTTCTCGACCTATTTCTCTAAATAAGCCCTGCCCTTACCATCAGATCTAATCCTTCAAGCTCAAACTTAGGTGAAGAGATAAGTTTACATGCTGAAGCCAAATTCCTACTATTTTGATTCCTGTCAAGCATCACTCCTACCTCCAGGTTGATGATTCCACTCTTCTTCACTGGGAGGTAGGTGACCCGAAAGCCCTCAGCTTCCAGCGAACGGCAGGAGTCCAAGACACATTTGTGTTCAGTCTGTGTAGTGACCAAGTGTTTTTTCCGTGACCTATAGAACCTGGCCACCCCCTAGAAATTGGTGGTGGTAGGAAGGAGAATATACTCAGAGAGACAGCAATGACATTAATCTCATTTGTAAAGGCAAAGTGGGCAAGAACAGTATGCTTCACATTCAATTCTCTGATACCAAGTGGGTGTCCCACAATTCAATTAAATTCTGACATTAACTACCCAGAGTTAGTGCAAATCCCACAGATTAAAGGGCTTAATTCTATAAGACTTCCCTCACTCCATATACCAACAGCAAGGCCTATGTGTCATAAACCACTCACTAGTACTTTTGCAAATTCAGGGCTTCCCACAGACGTGACAGAAGAGATACACAGGGTGGTCTGGGGCAGAAAGGGGCAAAGAACTTCCATGCCCTCTCCTCATGGAATGTAGGCAGTCAACTTTCCAGCACATTCACAAATTTACCAACTTAAAAGCCTCTCCAGGTTCTGCTCTCAAGAGTTTTTATGTTTCATTATTTAGGTACATGTATGGACTCAATCTCTAGCACCCTTCCTGTCCCCAGAATGAATTGATCATGAATCACCTTGTTACCATATGTTCAGTCTGTGTAGTGATCAAATGTCACATAATCTGAATGTGGCTTGTTATGAAAAGCAAAAGGTTTTTGAAGCTCTGAGCCAGGAACAGAGGACAAAATTTTAGTTTTATTATACCGTAAGTGAAAAATAGGGAAGATGGCTTTTCTTGCATCCCAGGAAAAAGTCTATCTCATATTTTTTTACTTAAATAGCAAAACATGCAAATATGGTACTGATACCGAAGCCTGACAGTGTAGAAGAAGTTCATTCACTCATTTCTTGCTGATGGCAGTGGTTATGCTATACTTTCTTCAGAGAGTCATTTAGAAAGAAGTCTTAAAAGCGGTAATCACACTCTTTAACTATAATTCCACTTTTGGGAATTTACCTCCACAATATGTGTCAAAAGATAGATGAAACTATAAAGACAAGATATGCTTTAATCATTATTTACAATCTTTTAAAAAATAGAAAGATTGAACACATCCAACAATAGAGAAACAAATAGTAAATTGTGGTAATCGGCTCCCTAAAAATGAATGTAGTTATATTAAAAATTATGGAGTTTGGGCCTCCCTTGAGGCGCAGGCGGTTGAGCACAGAGTTGTGAAGCTGTCCGCAGCCTCTGCAGTGTGGGTTCGATTCCTGGCCGACCAGGGAGATTCCCACATAGCGCGGCAGACTTCTCCTCTCTCGCCTGCTGCTCCCCTCAGTGGTGTATTCCCATCAGTCTGCCTGTTCTGTTCCCCACTCTGTCTTTAATGAATCCTCTTACCTTCTCGCACATCTGGCCTATATCCTGGTTCTTGTATACATGGATAAATAAATAGTTAAAAAAAAATTATGGAGTTTGAAATGGAAGACCAAAAGACATATACACAGAGTTCGTTTAGAATTAGCAGAATTAACTGCAGAGCAGGACTAAAGATCAGAATAGAGGAAGAAAAAGGAGAAAACTTAAAATTTATTTATATGGGGTTAGAAGTATCTCAACATATGTCCAAAAATTAAAAATTTTAAAGGCAAAAGTTCACTGAGAATCTTGGCCTTGCATCTGGGCTCTTAATCAGCTGCAGGAGCTCGTGATGGTTGGATGGCCAAGGAGGTTGCCTTCTTTGAGTTACTTAGAGAGATACTTGCCCACCAGTGTGGAAGTTTATGTTCTTCATAAAGACTGAGTAAGCAAGTGGTGTGACAGAACATTTTAATCTCTTGGTGTATGGTGGTTTTTACATATTTTGAGAACAAAACTTCATAAAAAAAAATTATATGAAGAAGAAAATGTGCAACCCTATCCCCTCCCACCCTCAGAGCTTTTAACAGACTACTACTTAAAAGCAGACTATACAACTCATTAGGTAAAAGAACATAGAAATAAAAACATTTAAAAACTGACTTATACTCTTTAGCCTAAAGGATTTATATCAACAATATGTAACAAAAACAGTTGGGAGTGGTGAGAAGAGTTAAAAATTTAGCTACTGCTGTTCACAAATAATGCAATTTAAATGATATATTCCTTCCCTTGTCCCCTCTCCTATCTTAGTTAGCCACAGTTGTAGAATCCTCTAAAAGCAGACAAACCATGCAGGAGACTAGGGAAAACAGCCACAACCATTCTGGACCTCTAGGTTTGAAATCTGTAGAGACTTTTTTTTTTTTTTTTTATAGAGGCATGTTTTATTTATTTATTTTGTTTGTTTGTTTATACAAGCACTGGGTACAGTCAGAAGCGCGGGAGGGTGAGAGAATTCACCAGAGCCAGAGCGGGGAGCAGAGCAGGCAGAAGGACTGAAGTACACTGCTGAGGGGAGCAGCGGGCGGCAGGAGAGGTCTGCGCGCCATGTGGGACCCTCCTCTGGTGGCCGGGGAGCAGCCGGGGATCAAACCGGCGCCGCAGAGGCCGCGGGCAGCTTCGCAACCCAGCGCTCAACCGCTGCGCCACCGGGGAGGCCCAGTGTAGAGACTTTTAAAACAAATGTTTTCAAAGTTTTGAAAATGCTCTATGTCCCATAAACCACCCCTATTTTTGAGTAATTTCCATCATAGCTTTGTTTTCTCTGCAATGCTAAGAAGAGATGTTTTCCTGCTAACAGGATCAGGAAGAGTGTGGATGACTCTGGAGCCCATCTCAGACCTCCAACACTTAGGTAGGGATCAGAGAAACCAACATTGATGGCATAGTTGAGAGACAACAGTGAGAGGGGGTGGAGCCAGAGTTGCAATTATAGCAGCCCACAATATATCAGAGCCTTGTCATTTACACAAGTGATTCTGGCAATCAAGCCCAATTAAAGGTGGACATGTCCTATGAAACACCAACATGAATGCTGAGACTAAAATTTTACTTTCTCTAGCACCAAACATCTGTATGTCCTGAGAACAGAGTGACTGATAGGTGATCACCCAGATAGGTGATTAAGTCAGCAAAAGCCTGCACAGGGCACCATAGAAAACATAATTTCAGGGCCTCCTTGGTGGCGCAGGGGTTAAGTCTCAGAGCTATCAAGTTATCACCAGCCACTGTGGCACAACAGGAGTTCGATCTCCTGCCTGGGAGCTGCCCACATGGCCCAGCAGACTTCTCCTGTCTTGTCTGCTGCTCCCCTCAGCAGTGTATTTCAGTAGATCTGCCTGTTCTGCTCCCCATTCTGTCTCTGGTGAATCCTCTCACCTACCACACCTCTGGCCTATATCCCAGTTCTTACATGCATAAATAAATAAAATAATCTTAAAAAAAAAAAAAAAAGAAAATAGAACTTCCAAAGGGAAGACATTTAAAGAAACAGGAGGAACTTGTTACAAAGAGATCAGAAAGAAAAAGGAAGGCTGAGAGGGCAGCTTTGAAATCACATACAAGTCCTGTAGAACATTTTCTTCAATGTTATAGCATTATAACATTGATAATGTGAAAAAAAAAAAAAAGAAAGAAAGAAAAGAACTCGGCCTGCCCATGCATGAGAAAAAAATAACATTATTCAAGGACCTGGTTTCATTAAATATTATTTCATTTGAAAGCTGCAGTCTCCAAGAACCTACCAATGTTAAGTGAGTGAAGCTGTTAACAAGCAAAGATTTATACCCAATTACAAGTACATTCAGAATTTCACTGTAACTAGATCAAAAAGTTAGGGAAAAGGAATGAGTGACCATTACTCTCTGAAGTATCTGCTGTCTAAAAAACCAAGTGATTAATAACCCAAAGATCACCTCCTTTCCTATCCAACTACCTTACTAAATTCAGTTCAGTCGGATCAAAGGCTTAAGATAGAGTAGATGGCAAAGGGTTCAAAAAAGCAACAAATCAAAGTGTGTGTGTCTTCTCTTCACAATGAGATGGGAAAAGGGGAAATATACGAGCCTAAATGACAGAGGGACACCAACTCCCAAGTCAGGGAAGCCCAGATATGCCCTCTGGTCCCCTCTCTTACCTTTATTGCTATGTTGTTGGATTCAGTAGCACCACTAGTGAAAATAATTTCACGAGGGTCAGCTCCTATCAGAGATGCTACTTGCTGCAAGTCAAGAAAAAGAGATAGTAACATTAGCTTTCCAGGCAGCAATGTGGTAGCAGGCACAGCTGGGAGAGCTCTAGAGCAAGAAGAGTTCCATTGTATTCTATCAACTGCCAAAAAGAAGCTATGTACCTACTAGGGTCAGACAAGGAATAGATTTACAAACTGCAGGCTCTTTTATAGCCCAATACAAATTAATGATTACTCGTGATTTTTAAAAAGTTCTCCTGAGCTCTTACTATGTACCAATTTTGTGAATAAGCACGTCACCAGTATTAAGAAACTGAGTTTTAGAGAAATTAGATAATTATCAACAGTCATTGAGCAAAAGAAAAGTGAGAATCAGGGTCTCCCCAGTGGCGCAGCGGTTGAGCGCTGGGTTGCGAAGCTGTCCGCAGCCTCCGCGGTGCCGGTTCGATCCCTGGCTGCTCCCCGGCCACCAGAGGAGGGTCCCACATGGCGCGCAGACCTCTCCTGCCGCCCGCTGCTCCCCTCAGCAGTGTACTTCGGTCCTTCTGCCTGCTCTGCTCCCCGCTCTGGCTCTGGTGAATTCTCTCACCCTCCCGCGCTTCTGACTGTACCCAGTGCTTGTATAAATAAATAAAATAAAATAAATCTTTAAAAAAAAAAAAAAGAAAGAAAAGTGAGAATCAAATGCCTTCAGGCAGACTCTAAAGCCTGCAATCTGAATCTTTCTGAGGTAGCCCCAAAATAATGCCACCTCTATCCACACCTACCAAGGAAATACCTCCCCCAGGCCAATGGACCTCTCACTTCAGAACCTCCCTGACCTCTCTTTACTAACCTGTCGAGCATGTTCCATGGCTGCCTCACTCTCCCAGCCATAAGCATGTGTCCGGGAGTGTGGGTTCCCATAGCAGTTGACTAGGTAAGGGAGCATGGCATCAAGCACCCGAGGGTCCTGAGCACAAAAGAATAGATCTGTCAGCCTACAGTTACCTCAGACCCCACTCCCTCCCCTCATATCAGCCCAATTTGCCTCAACAAACTCCCAGCCCTTCAATTACTGCCTAGTTTAGGTTCACTCTTCCATACTCTCAGGTATTAAACCAAATATCAGCCTGATATACTTGTACTCCCAACCCATCTTAAATCCCATTGCTCTAGCATCTCCTTCAGTAATCTACTATTTCTATTCCTCCTAGGCAATGTTATCTATGGTGGGTAGAGGACAAGACAGTTTACACACTGATAAAAACTTGCATTAATATTTAAGTGCTTATTATGCACCAGGCTCTAAGGACTGCCTTTTTTAACCCACACCATACTTCAGCAAATCCATATAGTTACTAAATATAGTTTAGCTAATTTCAGAGCCCATCTGTCTGTAATGCTGCAATGAAGTGATCTGACCAAGGTCAATGGCAAGGTAAGTGGCAGAGTAACTTCTAGTGGACTGTAACATATTCCTACTGACTCCTGGCTCACTTCCTTCCCCTAGCTCACTGCCACTGAGCATGCAGGGCTCAGTGGGTGTCACTAACACTAGGATCCAGCCACTCCTGTGCAGTGTCACTTCTACAATATAACTGCTATAAAAATCACTGGGGAAGGCTGTCTCTCCATCCTTACCAGAGGAGTTGTAGCTTGCACATCCATATACAGAGGTCGCAGCCCTGGCTCCTCCGGAGCAGTGGCTGTATCTGAGGGAACAGCAGACTGGGGAGCATGGTCTACAACTGACAAAAAATGGAAGGGGGTGGCCAAGTGAGAGAGGACGCAACTGTGGACATAGGTAGCAAAGGGTAAAAGCTGGACAATGATAAAATTAATTTAGGGGACACTGGGGTGGAATCTCTATGGAAAAGAAATCAAAGCCTCAGAGAACATGAGCAAACTTCGGTAAAAGGAGGCAAGGGATAGAGTTCCTGAAGGGGGATGTTGGACCAATATTCAAGTTGAGACGCTAGGAGTGCAGAGGGCTCTGAAAGGACAAGGCCAATCAGAAGGAATGTGGGGTCAGACTAAATAGGTCTCCTTCAAAGGTAAAGGTTACTGGCTGGGCGACGGGCATTCTTTAACTGTTGGCAAGGAGCGATCTGAAGGCCAAGCCTCACAGGCTCTGAGGGTTAGCGGGGCAGGATTTGAGGAAGGGGGCGCGGCGAAGTCAAAAGGGAAAGTTCGAGGGGTGGAGCCGAGAGGAAAGGTCGGAGGGTCTGAGGAGGAAGCGGAAGAGGGGAGGGAGGCTCCGGGATATTCAGGGGCGCCGACCCGCCGAGGCGGGGAAGGGCGGCGCCTCCAGGGAAGGCGGCAGCGAGCGGGCCCGGGAGCGTACCACGCAGGCGCAGCCCCCGAGTGGGCGCCGCAGATCTCGGCCCGGGAGCGGCGGGAAGGGCCGCTGCCGCCCGCCTCCAAGCAGCTCGCAACAGCATGCTCCCGGCGGCAGCCTTCCCCGCCAGAAGCGGCTACAGTTCTTGACCCCAGGCTGCCGGAAGTGCTACTGCGCGCCCCGGAAGTGGTTCTGCGGGACGCGAGCGCGCTCCGCCTCGCGTACCGTGTGAGACGTAGAGCTCAACGACCGAGGCCGCGAGCGAGGTGAGGAAGGGGCACCACGGCGCGGGGACCCGAACGCGAACTGGGTGATGGAATCGTGCTACGCGTTTATTTTCCTCCCGGGCCTTTCCCGAACCCTTGGGCTCGCTCCCCACCCCGCCTACTCCAGCCTCCGCCCGATTCTCGGTCTGGCGGCGAGGCCCCCCTCTTCCCTAACCCTCGCACCCTACAGATGCCTGTGGCCGTGGGTCCCTACGGACAGTCCCAGCCAAGCTGCTTCGACCGCGTGAAGATGGGCTTTGTGATGGGTTGCGCCGTGGGCATGGCGGCCGGGGCGCTATTCGGCACCTTTTCCTGTTTAAGGTGAGGGGCGCGGGCGGTAACCTTTGGGCGGGACGACCGGATCTTCCCGCCCCCTTCCTCTGGGCCTGCAGCCTGAATACAGCCTTCTTCCTTCCAATTCCCTCGCCGTCCACTAATGATCCACACTGGTTTCCTAACCACATACTGCCTGGAAGGACAGGTTGAGAGCTCCACTACTTGAAAATCTGAGCTCTGACTCAAGCTGCTCTCTGGCCTTTCCTCGGCCTGTTAACCTTAGGCAAGTTGGATCGTGGGTTTTCTCAAGTGTAGAATGAGGTAATACCAACCTTACAGAGTTGTAAGGATCAAATCAGAGCACACTTGGTACAGAATCCCTCACATATTAATTGCTTAATAAATGGCTGTTACTACTGTCGCTGCTGTTTTTTCCAGTTGCGTAGAGTGCAACAGGTTTGTTGAGCAATTTACTGTACTGGGAAAGATGAGATAAACTCTACACCCTAAACGTCATTTTGACATGTAGTAGAGTACATCTTTCTAGGTTTCAGCTTCCATTTACTGAGCACTTACTGTCAAGCACTGTGCTGAATGCCATTCATACTTGTGATCACATCAATCACATGAATGTTCTGAACCCCATTTTCACTTGGCAGAGACTATAAATTGCATTGTTTTAACATTAGGAAATCATCTAGGAGGACTAAGGTATTTATATATGCCCTGGAGATAAAATAAGCACCAAAACTGGTTATTTTGTACACATACTTTACATTTGCTGTCTTCCAAAATCTGAAGTCAGATGATAGGACATTCAAAAGAATCTCCCTAGAGACCTAGGGCCTTTATCTTATCATTGCCACAGGTGGCAACAGCTGATGTCCTGCTAGATTTCAGGAGTGCTTGATTCATCATTGAAAACACAAATAGGAAAGGGGTAGTTAATGCTCCTCCCTGTATGTTTCCAATTGGCCCCATCTTGGTTTCCTCCTCTCAGGATCGGAATGCGGGGTCGGGAGCTGATGGGCGGCATCGGGAAAACCATGATGCAGAGTGGCGGCACCTTTGGCACATTCATGGCCATCGGGATGGGCATCCGATGTTAATCAGGGCAGTTGTTGCCTACTACATCTACCCCTTCCCATAGTTCCAGTCCATATTCAATAATAAAACAAATCTTTGAGTAGTCTGAGTGTTAGAGGCATTATTTTTCTCACGTTCTCGACCCTTTTATCCATCTTGGTTAGAGATTTTGCAGGTGGGCTAATGAGTAGGTTTAGTGTTTCATAAGGTCTCTGTTAATCCAAAGTAAACAAGAAGGCCTGGAACTTTTCATACGTTCTGGTATTCAACTGTTGATGCTACTATCACCATTGAGAGGGAAAATGAGGCCAAGTCTAGATTCTTTGAATGTCTGTGCTACTAAGGTAGGTTTTAGCCCAGAAATCATATTTCCAGTGCTATTATTGATCCAAAAATAGTCCTGCATATGTATTTTCTGCCTTCAGTAGGGGAAAAAAATAAACAGTAAAAATGAAAACCAAGGCTTCCATATCTCCTGTTTCCTAAGCCAGATGATCAATGAGCATGTAAACTGAATAAACTGCCCCCATAAAATTCTAGACTTGTGGTATATTCTTAGGAACAAGTCTCCTCAACTACTCACGCAATACAGCCCTTTAAGGATTTTACTGTGAACTGCATTGCTCCTTAATCAGAGACAAATGAAATGGCAGTGTTATGACAAAGATGTAATATACTGGAATATTTGGGGTACACTCAAAAGGCAACTACTGAAATAGCTACAGCAACTAGAAAATGTCTCAGGAGTTAATGGTTTCACTCAAAAATAGCCACTTGAACTATTTTCTACACATCACAACCACATTTGCCTTCAGCATAATTTACATCCAAATTTCATGGTGGTCAAAATTTTGCCAACTCCTCAAAATAGATACCTTGTTATGCTCCCTTCAGCAGCACATATAATAAAATAGATACCTTGTTGGCAATTCCCTGAAAGGGAAAGACCAGACTTGACATGGGAGACCACAACAGATAATTTGTAAGATTTAGGAAGGCAGAACTTATCCCAGAGAACACTGTTGCCAGGTGTTTGAAAAATGAACTTTGAATTTTCTTTAGATTAAAAAATTAGATAAAATGGGTCTCCCAGTGGCACAGAATGTTGAGGGCAGCGCTGTGAAGTTGCCCGCAGCCTCTGTAGTGTGGGGTTTGATCCCTGGCCAGCCAGCAAGAATCTCACATGGCCCTGTCAACCTCTTTTAGCCCACTAATCCCCTCAGCAGTGTATTTCTGTCTTCTGCCTGTTCTGCTCCCTGCTCTCTGGTGAATCCTCTCACCCTCCCCTGCCTCTGGACTGTACCTCAGCTCTTGGATAAAAATAAATCAGAATAAATCAATCTTAAAAATTAGGTAAAATATAGATTTAACATCCATTTAAATGGCAGAAGGGAAACTGCCTCCAAATTTAAGCTGATTGTCTTGCTATCTGAATAAGCCTAAAATTTCTGCCTCAGTGCAAACAAATCAATACAATGAAAACAAACTGGTGAGGGAATAATCAGTACTGGAAGATAATCATTACATTAGGGGAAACATGACCTGCTCAAAGGTTCAACACAGTACAAAAACGTGAAGCAAAGTTCAGAGTATAAAGGTGGAAGCTTGCTACCAAAGTTAAAACTCAAAATTCCTTAAAAAAGTCATTAAGTGAAAAATTGGAAACCAGTTTGAACTTAAGGTATTTTGCTCATTATTTACTATTATGTAAAAAAATTTTACTAAGATGCCCAGACCACACAAGATAATATCCTAAGAATATCTAGGTTTAGAAACTGGGTTTGTGTGGTGGTTTGTAAATTTTGACTTTAACACATTTCGAAAATGAAGATTTCTTGTGGCCTTTTAAAGAGAATTTTATTTGAGTGATTCTTACAAAGATTGTTGCAATATGAAAGTCATTTGTTTGATAGAAATATCAAGCTGTCTTGTCAAACACACTGAAGTAACCCAAAAATATATTTCAGAGCTCACAGAGCTTAAAAAGAGCAAAGATTATATGCAACCAGACAAAACCTATTTCCGCATTTCCTAGTTCTTGTTCAGACTGCTTTGCTTACCAGACTGTCGCTAAACATCTTGAGGAAATGCAGGGATCATTTTGTTTGGAATCTTAGACACACCAGAACACATAATATTTACAAAGAAACTTTTACAGAATACATTAATTGAAAAGATACCATCAAGAAATATATTTTTAAATCTTTTCTTGCCAACTGATCAGAATGTAAGATGAGATGTTAATCGAACAGCCCTTTAGCTGTCTTGAATTCCCATACACTAAATGTGTATTCCAGAATCCTCTGCTAAACCATTAGCCAAATATCAACATTAGTGAAATGTGAAATGTAACTGCTGTGTAAAAAGTTAGGCTTCTGAAACATTAAAAACATTAAATCCCTGTCTGCCTTTTTACATTAAGCACATTTGATCCCCCAGAGCTATTCCTATAGATCCTTAATGTAATTTTCTACATGTACATTTAAAAGGCAGAACAAGAGACAGCTTTGTATACAGTGGGATTTGCTAGTTAGGGAGAATGAGCACACTGCATTCCTGTCAACATTTTTATTTTTCAAGGTAACAGGAATTGTATACAAATGACAGTAGACCCTTGCCTCTTTATTTTTATCTAAATAAAAGATAACTCAAGATGAATTCTCGAAAGAAAAAAAGCTATGTACATAAGGGACTATATCTTCCTTCATCGTCTACTTGGAACCAGTAGTTGTGTTGCTGTCATAGAGTCAGGGAAGAGGTTGTGATAAGTTGGAAGAGGTACATATGCTGCTGTTATCATTTTACCTGTTGAAAGAAAGAGATAAGATGGTTTAGTATTTTAAGACTAGTTTTTAATTTTAGTATTTTATTTTATATAATTCTTACATCATTTTTCATTTTTGCACAATGTATGCATTTTCATTTTGGTTATATTCCCCATACAATTGCACCCCCCCTTATTTTGACCCTAAGTCCTTCCTCTCCCCACCCCTCCCTCCCATAGTATCTTTGGTTTATAGTTGCTTGTTGATTTTGATTTCTACTTTGTATTAATTAGTTAGACTAGCTTTTTTAAACCATCCTAATAATCACATGAAGAAAAGAAACTTACCAGCAAACCACCTGCCATGCAATGCATTGACAGCAGCAATGGCTGCAGCAATTGATGGGCACTTGACATACACATTGCCCTAAAACACAACAAAAAAATATAAAGGCATTGCTATATATAACATTGATTAAAATAAGTTTATTTAAGTTGTCAGAAAGAAATTCAATTCTCTAAAACCACGTAATTGTCCTCAAAATAGTTCCGATTGCTACAATAAAACAAAGTCATTAAAGAATCCTGCTATACACTTTGGAGTTTTACTGTAAATGGTTTATTCCTCCAAGTCTTCCCTTGTACTATCTTTTCCCTGAATTGAAGCTGCTAAAGAAATGAAATTAACATACCAGAATTTCAGTTAGTTGAACACTAATCAGTAACTTCTTAACAATGACCCATTCTAACTCCTAACTACTTGCAAAGTGTTTTTTCTTAGGTCAATATGGTAAAGCTGCTTTCCAGAGTTCAGTGGGTGAAGGAATCACTTTTTTAAAATGTTAAAAATAATTTAACCTTTTTTATTTTTATTTTTCCCCTCAAGTGTAGTCCCCATAGTTCTCACACCACATCACCTGTGAACCATCACCACGGTCAAGAAAACTTTGCAGTAAAGACAGTTATAACTTTACTTGTTAATACTGTTAATGTTTTAAAGCACTTGCTAATACTTGTTTAATTGTTAGTATTAACAACCAATCTTTGTTCATGGAAAAAAAAAAAAAAAAAAAGACCAAAATACCTGAGCTGAATTTTTGTCAACATAAATATGAATGACTCCTCCATGTTTATTACATTCTTCAATCACATCATCCTTAATCTCTGTGTCCCATCCAACTTCTTCTTCTCTATAAAAAAAGCATTAAAAACTCTTTTAGAGGGCCTCCCCTGGTGGCGCAGCAGTTGAGCGCTGGGCTGCGAAGTTGCCCAGTCTCTGCAGCACCAATTCAATTCCCGGCCGCCAGCGAGGGTCCCACATAGCCCGCACACCTCTACTGCCATGCCCGCTGCTCCCCTCAGCAGTGTATTTCGTCAGTCTGCCTGTTCTGCAACCCGCGCTGACTCTGGTGAATTCTCTCACCCTCTGGTGCTGCTGACTGTACCCAGTGCTTGTATAAATAAATAAACAAATCTTTAAAACAAAAAACCTCTTTTAGAAACTATCTAAACTTTTGAAGCATCAGCTATATATGGTCATCTGTATTTTTAATATGCACATTCAATGTAAAACCACTGATGTCAGTGGAGGAGGGCATTAAAGAAAATCTAAATAAACATTTGATTAACACTTAATGGGGTTTGTTCACATCTTTGAATGACATACCAATTGTTCAACTCAATTTCCACAGATAAACTAATTTGGTGTTAAAAACACAACAATCCAGGGGCCTCCCTGGTGGCTCAGGGGTTAAAGATAGTGCTATCAAGCTATCACATGTCACCAGCCAGGGAAATGACCCACATATCCGCCAGGGAAGTGACCCACATATGGCAGCAGACCTCTCCTGTTTCACCACTGCTCCCCTCAGCAGTGTATTTCAGTAGATCTGCCTATTCTGCTCCCCACTCTGTCTCTGGTGAATCCTCCCACCCCCCTGCACCTCTGGCCTACACCCCAGCTCTTGTATATAGAAATAAATCTTAAAAAACAAAAAACAATCCAAACCTCTTTGTCTGCATTAAGTCATGATATAAGCAAAGCAAAGAAAGGGTCATGTTACAAATTACATACCCTTTTGAACTTGAGAAAAATACATTTACTTACGTTTGAGGGTTAAACATGTTAGAGAGTTGGAAACACTGTGTTGCAAGTGGTTGAACAGAGGCAGCTGCAGCTAAAGCCGAAGCTAAAAAAAAAAGAGAGAGAAATTAGTTTCATGGAAAAAGAACCAGAAAAACCCTGAATAAAACAAAACCAAACCCCCACCCCCACAGCTAAATGCAATGTGAAACAAGAGTAGTTGTCATCAACTCACAAGTTTAATAATGCTAACAACAAGTATTTAATACATTTTAGTTGCCAGGAAACTAAGGCAACCTAATATTGGATATAGCTATCTAAATTAAACTGGAGCTGTATTTTTTAGAAGGAAAATTAAAACTTGCATGCAATCAAAATCCATCCATTAGAAAAATCAACACATAACAAAGGATAAAAAGACTGAGGGACTACTGGAGTTTACACCCCGAGAAAAGCAAGGTGTATTAAAATATAATCTTTAAATTGCCAAATCTGTGCCATTGTATTATTTTGGTTTCTGTTCATGAATACTTATTTTAAATATATATACGTAAAAGTATTAAATTTTAAAACCAAAATGCACAAAACCATCTAAGCATTTTTACATACTAGGAACATAAATCCTATTAAGCAGGGTATTTTTTTTTTAAATTATTAAGCCTGTCTTAATCACTAAAAAAGAATGGTGTCTAATATTCACTTCTTTAAAAATAACTACTTGACACAAGTACTTAGGAGCAACATTTAAATCCCATATTGGTTTTGTAAGTTTGAAGTTAGAGCATTTTCCAAAACAGCCACTCCACTGCTTTAATGTGGTTGACAGAACTCACCGTAATCACAATATTTGACCAAATCTCATTCCAATACATAACAACAACAAAGCTAAGGATAAAAGAGTACATTAGAAATTATGATAATTAAAATGATCGATCACCTGAGGAAGTACCAGAAATAATCCAAGTGATTAAAAATTAGGGCTGTGCATGAAATACATCATAAAATGCTGCTGATGGAATTAAAATGCTTTTTGCTTTTTAAACATCCTTTCATCAAGCTTTTTATCAAAAAAGAAAGGCTAAAACATTTACCAGATTGTCAAACTCTAGTGGGGAAAAGTTAAGATACAACTATGGTTGTTTTACAATTAAGTACCTTATAAATGTGCTTTGGAAAGATACTAGATCATTCCAAAACAACTGAGGATAAATTTTTCTGTTTTCTCGAAAGTATAATACAGTGGCCTCCCTGGTGGCGCAGGGATAAAGCTATCAAATATCAGCAGCCACTGTAGCACGAGTTCAATTCCCAGCCACTCCCACATGGTGCATCAACCTCTCCTGTCTTACCAGTTGATCCCTTCAGCAGTGTATTTCAGTACATCTGCCTGTTCTGCTCCCCACTCTCTCTGGTGAATCCTCTCCCCACCCCACACCTCTGGCTTACAGCCCAGTACTTGTATGCATAAATAAATTTTTTAAAAAAATGTATAATGTACTATGAATCCTGAAAAAGCATTAAGGAAAGGTGTGATAGAAACATTCCAACATAAACTATGTGAACACAGACACAACAAATTCAGCATAAGAACACAGCAAATAGGAAAATCATCTAATTCTAAAAATCTGCTATGAAAAAAGGATTGAGTATAATGGTGTCATTTACTGAAATAAATTAAAATAAGCATTTGTCAATGAACATTACGGGTATTTTTAATACATAAAATAATTTCTAAACCAAATACTCATACCCTATAAAAAGATGGATAACCAATTTCCTCAAGAGCAAAATGCTCTTATAAAATGGCTGATTTACTTGGTAATTAATAACAAGGAAAGTAGGGCCTCCCTGGTGGCATAAGGGGTTAAGCACAGCAATTTAAAGCTATCTGCAGCTTCTGCAGCGCGGTTTCAATCCCAAGCCACGGAGCAACCCACATGGCGAGGCAGACCTCTCCTCCGCTGCTCCCCTCAGCAGTGTATTTCAGTCAGTCTGCCTGTTCTGTTTACCCCACTATCTCTGGTGAATCCTCTCACCCCCCATATCTTAGGCCTGTACCCCAGTTCTTGTATGCATAAAAAAACCCACAAGTACCCTACATTATAAAAATGTTTCAATCTCTGAAATTTGCATGCAATTTAATTGTACTTAGAACTGTCTTCTAACTACTTGGTAGTACTTTTATAAATCACGGGAATAATGTTTTCCTAACCTTACATTAAGTTTAGACTTCATGTTCTGAAAGGCTCGTTCACTAAACGACAGATTTCATTTTCTGACTTTTACATACAACTTACTAACAATGAACATGTTATATTGATACATGGCTAATATGATACATGACTAAAAACAATTCTAGAAAAGCCAAAAAAGCAAGTTTTAATTTTTAAATCCATGGAATTTTAGTGTTTTGAATTAGTCTTCAAATATATACACAGTAATGGATTACTGTATATATACCCTGAATGTGTCATTCTGCCAAAATCTGGCTCAATACAAATTATAATACACTACTGTATCTTGCTATGTATCTGTATCTTTGTATCTATTTTAAAGAAAAATAAAAAGCTCAACTCACCTTCAGTCTGTTGAGAAAGTCTTGTTTGCAAATCTATAACAAAAGAGAATTCTACAGCTCAGTGCAGGAACAATGAAGAGCCTCAACTAACAGGGTAAATGTCAGGAAAGCATTAATAAAAAGAGGACTACAATAGCAGGGTTTGTTAAAATGAACTTATTGTAAAACCTGGCAGCCAAACCTCCTTCCCCATTCCTCATTGACAAGGCGTTGGGGCCTTTTTCTTTCCTCCTACCCTAGGAAGCTTAGTTACGCCCTCTCTAGTGCTATTCCTCCTACTCTATTTCACACCTCAAATGCATTCAACTTAATACTACTCTTCACACGGGAATAATGGGAAATGGGGAAAGGGAAGCACACCGGTCAGAAAATGCATGAAAACCCTGATCTTGAGAATTCAATTCCAAGTACTTGGGATAATCCACTATTTATTCTATCAGTGGCAGTAAACATTTAGGAATACTTTCATTTTTAGAAAACGGTAATCACTGCAACAGTACATATCAAAATGCTATAGATACTTTTAACAATCAAATAGGAATATCACCAGTGGGAAAGATTCCATTCTAGGATGTACGTATTTTTTTAAGGTCTTCAAAAAATTGTATCATGGGGCCGGGCCTCCCTGGTGGCGCAAGGGGTTAAGCACTGCACTATGAAGCAATCCACAGCCTCTGTAGCATGAGTTGGATACCCAGCCAGCAAGGGAGCAACCCACATGGCAAGGCAGACCTCTCCTGTCTCGTCTGCTGCTTCCCTCAGCAGTGTATTTTAGTCAGTCTGCCTGTTCTGTTCCCCGCTCTGTCCCTGGTGAATCCTCTCACCTCCCGCATCTCTGGCTTGTACACCAGCTCTTGTATGCATAAATAATCTTAAAAAAAAAATTGTATCAAATCCAGCCCAGAAAGTGATGACTTTATTAGGGCCTGGTTGGTTCCCTTAGCTAATTCTGCAAATTTAATGAGGCAGCAATGAAATTTAAAGGAGTTTACTAAAATCTATGAAGTCTAAGAAAAAGTTAAATGTACGGTCAATATCAAAAATACAGGGATTTTTACTATTGTGTTTCTTCATATAATCATAAACATCTCTACATTGGAACCCAAGAGAGAAAGCTGCCAAGCTAATGAACAGCAAGTTTGAACAGTAAATGTAAATTGCCAGCTTAATAAAAGCTACTTCAAACTGAAAGTTACAGAAATAGACAACATAAAATTGTTCAGATTCAAGTAACCTAATTTTCCATCTACATGTAATTCAACTTTAACACTATCTGTTTTTTTTGCTAAGTATAAAAAATGATCATTAGACACAGGCAAAAATGAAAAGGGATCAGCAACCTAAGTTATACTAATATAATAATACCAGAATCTTAAGTGTTCAAAACGCATCTTGGAGATTTAAAAAATATAAACTGGTATATACTCAAAGAACTTGAGGTTAGGACTACAGGAACACTGTCAAACAACACTCAATTTTAACACAATGTTTTCTAAAATGAAGGGGGAAAGAAACATGGACACCAGCAATCTATGCTATTTTAAATGTGTATCAGTCCCTATCAAAAACAAAAAATGTCTTTTTCCGGTAAGTTGGGACAAGACAGAAAATAAAGCCTGGTTTTTATAAAGGTAAAAAAACTAACTTGTCTTAGAAAAGTCTGTTAAACTTCCAGATCCACCCTTGTTTGGTGATGGTGACCCTTGTTTCCACAGAGATTCAAAGGTCTGTGGGGATAATAGCCTCAAACGCAATAAACCTCAGCAATTTATTTAACTTCAACAAAGTGATGTTAAAGGTTTTTATGATGAGTATCTGGACAAAAATACTCAATTATAAAAGTATTTACCTAAAAATTTAGTGTCATTAACTCACTAGAGCAATAGCAATTCAGAGGAAGTATAAGAAAACAGAGTAAACATTTTTAAAGGGGGGAATATAACATATAATAATCTATTTTGAACAATACATACGGATGTTTAGAATTTAAATTGATGACAGTCATCCTTAAGAGAAGAGAAACCATGCAGAGTACCTACGGATGAATACTCATATAGTATACATCAAAGTAGTAACGACTGAAGGCAGTAGTGTCTAACAGAGAAAAGCCTTCAAAATAGGTGGTCATGTTTATGTAAAGACCAAATCAACATATTTGATACAACACCCATAAAATGTTTCATGTTACTGCATCAGATCCCTGACCTTGTTCACCAGCCTGTAGTGGAATACTTAAGGCTACGGATAGCAATTAAGCATTTTCTGAATTATTCCAAGAATGACTTAAGCAACAGGGATATTTGAAGAGAGTTTTCAGTTTAAATAGTAACTTTCACTCCACAGACTGGGAAATAATGCTGGAAATGATGGGTTTCCTTGTAATAGCTACAATTAAATGGATTCTTATTAACTGTAGTCACTATAAAAAAACATTAAATGTCCAATACCTATAAAGTAAATCAAGGAAACAGGAATACCAGGGGAAATCATTACAAGACTCAAATAATGGTTGTGTCTTTTCTTCTCTTAAGCACACAATGGGACATGGTGTGTCAGAAATTTTGGAAACTGGGGTTTTCAAGATAAGTCATAATTTGACAGGAAGCACAAGGAAGGAAGGTTTTCTAAAGCTTCTGAAAGAGTTAGCTATCCACTGAAAAAGGAGAAAACAATGAAACTTCCTCTCTAAATGAAAACAGAAATGATCTCCGCCTTTAGATAGTAAGGTTTCAATTTAAATGGAAATCATAAAGCACCCAAAGGCCCTCTGTATATTCAGATGCAGAAGCCATGATTAATATAATCTTCCATATTGCCAGTCTCATTTTTTAGGTAATAGAGAAGACCAAAGGGTCAATTCATAATAAAATTGTCATAGGATAAGTATATCCTGTCATCCTAGGTTCAAAATGCAAATTTCTGAATGTTCTAGAAGTGTTTCAAAATTACATGCTATCCTATCTTGGCTTAATATCAACTATTTTATAAAAGGAAAGTTTAGGCACCTAAATTGAGCCAAAACAAAGCAGCAAATGCTTCATGAACTGCATTTCTTGCTTTGTAATTATAGCAAATGGTCAATTCACTCACATTTTTCTGCCGTCTCTAAGACCCTCAACTCAAAATCTACAGTTAAGGACTGTTTAGGTAGGCAGTTTTCTCTGCACTCTTGATACTGCAATTATTTGAAATGAAACTTAAAGACCTGTACTATACTTTTTGGTCTCAAACATTCAAAAAATTTTTTCTGTAAAAATATAAACTTTAGATCTTTAATAAAAATTATATTAAAAAGGACTAACAGCAATTACAACTACAAATTGGTACAAAGGGTTCAAAATTATCAACAGCTTTTAGGATAAATAAGCCAATTTGTCATGTGAACTCTTGAAATTTATAGGCCATAAGTACTTGATGAATTGAATTCTCAGTAAGTCCTTTTAAATGCAAAAATTTGGTAAATTTTCGAATTAGATGAAAAAACAATGATTTCAAATTAGAAAAGATTCAATTCCTACCTGCCACAGCACCAAATGCCAAAGAACCACTCATTTGTAGAGCTTGTTGTGCTGCCGGTGGGATCTGCAAACCTGTACCTGTAGAACAATAGGTCTTGATATTCTTAATATGTTACGAGCGTAAAAACCTAGTTTTGAGTGTTTACCAAATCACAAAAAAGAAATTACAAGGAAGATGTAGTATAAGAGATGCAACTAAGTACCTAATGGCACAAGGGGTTAAGACACAACCTATAAAGCTATCCGCAGCCACTGGCCCCAGGGAACTACCCACATGGCACAGCAGACCTCTCCTGACTCACTCGCTACTCCCTTCAACAGTCTATTTCAGTCAATCTGCCTATTCTGTTCCCCACTGTCTCTGGTGAATCCTCTCACCCTCCACAACTCTGGCCTGTAACCCCACTTATTGTATGCATAAATAAATAAATCTTTAAAAAAAAATTGCAACTAACCATACTTTAACATATTATAAAATAAATGTCACAAATTCTGTAACTTAAGTTGTGGTAACTCAAAAGGTACCATATCAATTGTATGGTAGATTTAAAGTTTAAAAGAATCTCATCCATAAAAATTTTATGTGTGTTTTCCAAGGATAATGTCAATTTCAAAATATAATTTTCCACTTATTAGTCAGCATGGTTACCTTCCATTACCATACCCACAATAAATCACAACACTAGGAAAAACTTACCCTCTGCAAGTCTTGCCATTAATTGGAGACGACCAGTTGTTCCCAAGTCAATTCCAGTCCTTTCCAGTTCATCACTGTCCAAAAATGAGCTAGCACTGGAAGCATCAGTACGTTCAGTAACATGACCAACTTTCATTGGTCTTCCTGCTAGCTCAAATCCATTAAGTTGTTCCAAAGCCTTCTTGGCACATTCTGAATCAGAAAACTAAATTGAAAAGGAGGGAAAAGTCCAATATGTCAGCCAACATATATACTCAAGATAAGGAAACACCAAGTCTAGTATATTCAGTAGCTTCAGTTGGGTAGATAGACTTTTAATACAAAATCTGGGACCATATTTTATTTGAATATAATTAAATTTCTTAATCTCAGGATGTAGTAGACACAACTCATTCACAATCTATACTTTTAATGGACAAAAAGAATTTAATCTTTCCTCAGAATATTACTGTTTGAAAGTTATTTTTATAGAGCCTCCCTGGTGGTGCAATAAGTTAACTTTCAGCACTATGAAGCTATTGCAGCAGGTTCTATGTCTCACCAGCGAGCTAACCCACATGGTACAGCAGACCTCTTTGTCTCACCCTCTGCTGCCCCCAGCAGTGTATTAGTCATCGCCTATTCTGCTCCCCACTCTTGTCTCTGGTGAATACTCTCACCTCCCGCCTCTCTGGCCTGTGCCCCAGCTCTTGTATGCATAAATAAATATTTAAAAAATAAACAAATTTTACTGAGATTTAAAGTAAAATTTAAATTTTACTTAATTATAAAACAATTATTACAATTTCTTAATTACAATCAGGGCTTCCTATATCTTATACAAAAACATCTTATTCCTTGACATGGCAGTTATAAGACTACTCTTATAACTCTGAAAATCTGCAATGATGTAACTGGATTAAATCATGAAATAATATACAACTGCGTTTACTTTTAGAAAGCATAACTATTCACAATTATTCCAACTTCTACCTCATACCCTTAAATCAGGGACCGAGCTATAATGTAAGTCAAAAGCACTTTTAATAAAGCAATCCTTATTGAAGTGCAAACATATATAAAAAGGATTTAATTAAAGAGACCTACATTCAAATATATAAAAAGGATTTAATTAAAGAGACCTACATTCAATAGCTAAGAATGTGTTCCAAGTCAAAGACTGAAGAGGTTGTAAATCATAGATGTCTCAGACATCAATTACACGTTATGTCGATTAAACAAATCAATCATAAATATGAGTAAAATGCTTAACTATGTATTCACATTTGGTGGACACCTCTAAGAAATGGCTATTAAAGGCAAATTTATACCACTTGAAAGAAAATGACTCCCTCTTTTCCCACTATCAATAACGAAGTTTTAAGTCTGCTTTTTAAATATAACGTTCATCATGTTAATTGCTTACTGTAATGAATCCATATCCCTTGGATCGTCCTGTTTCACTATCCATCATGAGCTGGATACTTTCAATCTAAAAGTGAAAATTACAATTTTTATATAAAAGAGGAGGGAAACAGGAACACTTCTTTCCCCTTGAAACGTGATTGGTAAATCTTCTGTAACCTTAAAAATTAATTGAAAGCATAACATAATCCCTTCCTATACACTTTCATATAAATTTTCACTAGGTGTTAGGGAAGACAATCTAAAAATCTTACATTTTAGCCTTTGGCCTCAATAATTAAACTACTAAAAGAAGCCCTTGGTAAACCACAATGAGGACTCAGAAATAAACATATTTCCTTCCAATTATGCTAAACACAGTATTAATTCTTAATCATGAGACACAATAAATTAACCAGTATGTTGAAATAAAAACAACCACATGTTGATGGGTGGCACACCTAAAATACTCAAAGGCAACAAAGCAGTTACTTCAGATGTGTGAACTGTATGCTTTGTGAATTTTATCACAATATCCCAATAAAGTTGTCTATACACAGAATGAAATTAAAACAGCACTCATCATGCTGTAATTTCTTTATGCTCTGGTGGTCTCAGGAATGTATTAATTTTGTAAAGACGGACTAATTCACACAAGGATGATTTGTTCACCATTAGTATGCATAAATTTCCAATAAATACAGCACCAACAATCTTAATACCCTAATTTATGTTATCAACATTTTAAATAGTTTAGCAAAGGGATTAAGTGGTAGTAAAGGGAAACTAAAAAAAGATAAAAAAAAAAAGATCCAAAGGTGGGACCTCCATGGTGGGCAAGGAGTTAATAAGCACAGCAGCACTGTGAAGCTGTGCACAGATGTTTGATCCCTGGTCAGCCAGGAAGCTACCCACATTGCACAGACCTCTCCTGCCTCACCCGCTGTTCCCCTCAGCAGTGTATTTCAGTCCACCAACCTGTTCTGCTCCCTACTCTCTCTGGTGAATCTTCTCACTCCCCAAACCTCTGGCCTGAACCCCAGTTCTTGTATGCATAAATAAATCTTCAGGAAAAAGAAAAGCAGTCTACTTGTATCACTCATGTTTATCTAAAAACAAATGAATGTAATACTCATGAGATTATATACATTATAAATAATAAATGGTCTTCAAATGATCTCCTTTCAAAGAAGTTAACTTATGTTGCACAGGAATGTTACATAATGCTTTCCCATCTTAATCTCAAAGAAACATGACACAGAAAATTATGAGAGTTATACTTGGATCAAGAATCCATTAAGGGGCCTCCTGTGGTCGCGCAGGCGGCTGAGCACAGCACTGTGAAGCTGTCCCCAGAGCCTCTGCAGCACTGGTTTGATACCGGCAAGCGAGGGTCCCACATGGCACGGCAGATCTCTCCTGCCCCACCTGCTGCTCCCCTCAGCAATGTATTTCGCCAGTCTGCCTGTTCTGTTCCTCACTCTGTCTCTGGTGAATCCCCTCACCCTCTCGTGCATCTGGCCTGTACCCCAGGGTTCTTGTATAAATAAAATAAATCTTTTTTTTTTGAAGAATCCATTAAGTATCTATTTAAGAAATTGGAACGTACCCTTCCAAAAGGCTCAAAGATCCCCCGAAGCATATCTTCTGTTATGTTAAAGTGCAAGGAGCCCACATAAAGTCTCATAGGTCCAGCACTTCCCTTTTGTAGATTGTTTGCCATTGCTGCAGCTCTGTTTTTTTCTGCCTACAAGTAAGGTAAGAAAAATGCCTATCACACAGCAATAATCTAAATCATACCAATCAGATCTTAGTTTCGCAAAATGACAACTACTGTTAATGGTTAGTGGTGAAATTACACTTAAATGTGAATAATCATACACAAAATGACAAATATCCATTACACTTATAAACCACTGAGTAACAGCACTAAATTACACACACAAAATAAGATGTTGAATTTTAAATTTTTTTATCTTAATATTTTAGAGTTTTGAGAGCATATGCATGCTAGTTATAGCACGCTGCATTTCATACTTAAAATGACAACCATTATGAAACTGCATTATGACATCTAAAACACGCATGCTTAGACTTAACGAATGTATGTTTCCTGAAATTGCTAACTACATTCATTATTTAGCAAAATCAATGTAACACAAGACCATTTTTTAACTTAATGTACAGCACGTCTACTAGGCATGCTGAAATCAAACCAAGCTAACCAATCAAACCAAGCTAACCCAGTCAATTCACAGTGGTAATTTTATCTAAGCCAAGGCCTCCCATTAAAGGAAATGTACATTTCTGGGTCTCCCCTGTATCACAGCGGGTTGAGCACAGCGCTATAAAGTTGTCCGCAGCCTCTGCAGCGCTGGTTTGATCCCCAGCTGGACAGGGATATTCCCACATGGTGCGGCAGACCTCCTCTCCTGTCTCGCCTACTGCTCCCCGCAGCAGTGTATTTTGTGCCTGTTCTGTTCCCCACTGTCTCTGGTGAATCCTCTCATCCTCCCACGCATCTGGCCTGTACCCCGGTCCATGTATAAATAAATCTTTAAAAAAAGTACATTTCTAACACAAACCAAGCCATCTTGATTAGTAATGCTGATCAGTAAATTCAAAACCTTATCTGATTTAAGGCTTCTCAGCCTTTTGTCAGGCCAATGTACAAACTATTAGGTTTCTCCTCTTAGATCAGAGGAAATGAACTGAGCAATGTTTTTTCTTCTTCCTATTATATTCCTATTGTTTACATACAACTAAGTGATAAATACCCAGTATCACGTACTCTTTAAATTTCAAATTTTAAAACCTGGACCTAGCAATACCTTGCATAAAGGATGTTAGTAATAAAACCAGATTTTCAAGTCAGATTATGTAAAGCAACAGGTTTCTAGCACTACCAGTGACCAAATTCTTAACATAATATAATTACCTGTGATGCCTGTACTATGATTGGCACTCCTAAAACACGTTGGCCAGTTAATCCAATTGCGAGAGGCACTGAGCTAACATCAACAAACTCCACGTAAGCAATTCCTTTGGAACGTCTTGAATTTCTATCAGAAATCATTCTTACATCTCGAACCTAAACAGAAAACACTTAACTTTAACCCAAGTGTGTAATCAGGGTAAAATTTCAAAAACATGAGGCACATAAAAAAAAATCCAACAAGAAACTATCACAGTAACTTTTAAAGTAACTAACTTTGTACACCCATAGGCCTATCTGTATCTTGAAGAATTCCAGGTAACATTTACCAACTATTACCTTCCAAATGAGGCCAAATAGAAATGTGACAAAAAAAAATCACTAGATATTACTAAAAGACTTTATATTTAGATGTTTTCTCATTTTATCTGCACAATGATGCTATTAAAATGTTTACAATTTCCAATTATGTGATCTGCTTAAATAGGTCAAGATTACCTTTCCTACTGTAGAGAAAAACTCTTCCAAATCCCTTGGACGAATTCTTGCTGCCAGTTGCATGCAGAAAACTGTCCTTGCATCTCTTTCCTCAGGAGTTAGATTATCAATTGGTTCCCTAATAGAAGTAAATAAGTTATTCTTTTAAAATGCTAAATACACTAATACACTTTCAATAAACAGAATGAAATATCAAAATTAGTTGGTCATTATTCCCACACACGTTTACTAAGATTTAAACAAAATGTTTACGAAATAGGGGCCTTCCTGGTGGCACAAGGGGTTAAAGCAATCCTTAATTACTGTAGCATGAGCTCATGCCCCAGCCAGGGAGGTGAACCACATGGCTCAGCAAACCACTCCTGTCTCACCCGCTGCTCCCCTCAACGGTGTATTTCAGTTAATCTGCCTGTTTTTCCCACTCTGTCTCTGGTGAATATTCTCACCAATCTGCACTTCTGCCCTACACTGCAGTTCTTCTATGCATAAATAAATCTTTGAAACATAATTTAATGTAATTAAATTCCTTCAACAGGATAGTTAAGATGATTCTTCTAAAACACCTTGCCATGTTATCAGGAAAAGTTCACTGGTTGTAAACCAATGTTACCTCAGTAAAAAAATAGCACTTGGGGGGCCTCCCTGGTGGCACAAGGGGTTAAGCACCGCACTATGAAGCAACGTGCAGCCTGCCAGAGAGCAGCCTGCCAGAGAGCACCCCACATGGCGCAGCAGACCTCTCCTGACTTGCCTGCTGCTCCCCTCAGCAGTGCACGTCGATCAATCTGCCTGTTCTGTTCCCCACTCTGTCTCTGGTGAATCCTCTCACCCCCCCATCTCTCGCCTGTACCCCAGCTCTTGTGTGCATAAAAAAATAAATCTTTAAAAAAAAAATAGTACTTGGGTCCCCCTGGGGGCCTAGGGGTTAAGAAGCTCTGTCATAGCTAAGGCCTGTCGTTTGATCCCCAGTTAGGGAGCTAACCCACAGGAGCTAATCTCCTGTCATACCTGCTGCTCCCCTTAGTGTATTTCAGTAAATCAACTGTTCTGTTCCCCACTGTCTCACCCCCCTACACCTCTGGCCTGTACTCCAGTTCTTGTATGCATAAATAAATCTTAAAAAACAAAAAAATTTTTTAAAAAGTACTCATTCAGCAACAGGATACACTAATCATTAACAACTATGTTTGATGAATACTGAACTATGGGGGCATTGCTATTTTTATTTTTTAAGTGAGGGGTAAAAGGCCACTGTCCTCTTTAATCTTGCAAGTATCAATTTCTTCAATACAAGAACTAGACAATCAGAAAGAATTCTACCATAATCACAAGTAAATAAACTCTATTAGTTACAAATATTGGTCTAGTCCAAAATCAACAGAAATAATGATCTCCCAAAACAAAACCATTAGAAAACCTAAAATGAAATAAAATACAAAAATATTCTTTAAAGTAAAACCCCAAATGACAAAAATTTGTTTCCAAAAATTATATTAACATTAAAAATTTATGAAGCCATAAGCTAATGGTTTCTTAGAATTACATCAGTCTTACTAAGATTCCACTAAATTAGTATCTAAGGTTTAGTTATATCGGTTATGGAATATACAAAGTAACCACAACCACATCAAAAAGGAAATTTATAGAAAAAATTAAAATTGCTCAAAGAAGTGAAAAGAGATTAACAGATAAAATTTCACAAATTTCTGTCCTCCCTGGTGGCACAGGGTTTGTTAAAGCCTCAGAACTATCAACCGCCACTGTGCCATACATTCAAACCCTAGTCAGGGAGATAATCCATGTGGCACAGCAGTGTGGTTCAGTAGATTCACCTGTTCTACTCCCCACTCTGTTCCTGGTGTATCTTCTCACCCTCTGCCCCCTTTGGTCTAGACCCCAGTTCTTGTGTACAGAAATAAATCTTTAAAAAACAAATTTCACAAATTTCAAGGAAAAATAAAGTGTCCATTTAACATCTGTTACAAAATACCACTAAAGTTAAGTAGGGTTATAATTTAACCCTTAGAAATGTAAATATTCTCTGTCCATATTTTCACATTTTAGTAAATTGTCTGATAATGTTCTACCTGTAAAACTGTACATCCCCATGAAAGTTCAGCAGGTGATTTTAAATATATTACAAAACAGGTGCTAGGCTAGGTCAAAAGAATGAGAAAAGGGGATTTTCTTATGAGAAAGATTTTATCTCATGTCTTAAAAAGAGCTTTTAAAATCAAGGTTTTCACCAAACCCTAGAATAATTAAATCACACAAAATAACACAATAGTTATCAAGAAGAAGGTGCCCTTTCAGGGAAACCAGGAAAATAAAAAACAATGCTATGTATCAAAAATGCTCCTTGAGAATCATTAAGCTGGACATTTGAGAGGAAAATAACTCAAAATAAGATGTTAAAAATAAGTCAGTCTGTTTGACTTTGGCAATTAAATACTTTTTCTCAGGAAGAACAACCTATCTTTTGATTGTTATATTTTTTCCACATAAAGCTAGTTCAAATAATAATGTAAATTTGTTAACTTCAAAGGTCTTAAGTGTGTAATTTATTTGAAGTTTACTATACATTTAATATAAATGAGAAATAAGATCACAGACATCTACACAAAGTAAGTATGCTCTTTTCTTATATGGAATATATGAAATCAAAATCAATCGAAAATTTAGAAATCCACATTCATTTAACAGTGCTACTAGTACTATGAAAGAATTCAAGATTTAACACTATTTACCAAATGTCATAAAGTCACTGAATGTCCACATTACTAAATATAAAATTATCAGTAGTAGAAATTATAAGCTCTATTTATAAAAGCTCTAAATGAAAAAGTAAGGACAACAGCTACCTCACAGGGCTCTTGTCTTTTCTGAATGGACTTTTGCTTCGGGAGCGTCGTCTGCTGCAAAGTTAAAAAGTTTCAGAAGTTACCCAACAAGTACACCACATTAGTTCCTTGAAAAACAATTTAAACAATTCAGAAGTATGTTTAAAAACCTTAATTTGATGCTATGAGGCAACCCAATCTTTCCTCGGATGGCACTGTTAAATTTTGGTCCGGAGCTAAAAAGGAAAAACAAAATTACACTAGTTACAGGTTTAGGGTCTTGCTAAGATCGCGGTTCATGCGCTCTCCAGCAAGTTCAACAATGTTCAGGCTGCTTTTTTTCCACCTCAATTATGAAGAGGAAACAAAGAGACTTTTTCTCTTAACTGTATCCCAGGTAAACTGCTCTTACAGTTATCCATCCTGGACCACTGAGAGGTGCCAAGACCAAAGGTTAGAGCCTCAAAAATTAAGATTCTGAAAATGCTTGCTTTCATTTTCAGTCTGTAGTTTTCTTTTTAATTATAATTCATGAATACATTCCTGTGGTTTTAAAAAAAGAAAGCAAAACATATGCCATAAAATTAAATCATTCTGAACTTTTCTCGCATCAGGAGTATCATCTTTGGTTAACAATTTGCTCGGCATATTTGCAGATCCTCTCTCAGGAAAGGTATATGTGATTACACATACAATATTCATATATATAAGCTCATTTATTTTTTAAAAAAACAAGGGAACTAATTGTTCACATGATCATGAAACTCCCAACTTTCCCTTTTATAAGTCTTAGAGACTGCATAAAAGCACTTCTGGGGAATCATACTTCCATTTTTTATAGCATAATATTCCATCATAAATATATAATGGAAGTTCATCTCTTAAAAAAAAATTCTATTGAGAATATGACATATTAAGGGCCTTAAAAAGTTATTAGAACAGTAACTGCCTTTGAAACAAACACTAGTAGTTTCAGAGCCTGTAATTTTTAAAGACTTTAACTTGAAAGGGACAAATTAGATGTCCCTTAGTGCTCATCCTGCTATATCCCTTTTCAGGGTAGTGATACGTGATCCACTACTGGATTCCTTTTCATGGACTCTACATGTACCTAGAACATCCAAGCAGTTCCAATTATTTTAAATGAAATCGGTTCATTGCAATTACAAATAGTGATAACATTCACTTATTTGATCTTTGATTGAGTTCAAGAAAAAACCTATTATTTTCTTCCCCCTCTGTGACTTTTTAGTCTGTTATTCCTTCCATAGTTACCTGTAACCAAATTTACAAGAATGAAGTAATTTTAAAGTCAGACCAAGATCACAAGAGGCTGACTTCAGTCATCACTCAACAGAGGTAATAGTATCAAAAAATTAATGTATTCCCTTCCCCCCATTTTTGCACATTTTGATAAAATTAATGCAACGAAATTGCGATAAACTGGACAAAAAGCTAATTTCTAATAGAGCATTCAGAATTAAAACATCATTACTGTGTCTTTTAAGCTCTTAAAAAGTATACGGAATAAGCAGTTAGAAGAAAACTTAACAGTTCAATTCTTTTTATTTTAAAGATTAAAGAGCCAGACTATGAACTCCAAAGTGTTACTAATGTTAATAGCTTCAACTAGGGCCAAAACAGTTCATAAATATCATTAAGTATTTTGAGTAATTTATTTACATACTCATTCAATACTCGTTAAGCCCTTATCTCTCAGTTGTTACTGTCTTGCAAGATGAGAAAATTAAAGCTTAGACAAATAACTTGTCTAAGTCAAGGCTCTGATAAAATTGTATTTAAATTCTATCTCCAACCATTTAAAGCCAATTTTAAAGTCAAATTTTCATTTTAATATAAAATTAATACATCCAAGTTTATCACAGTGTATTGAAAGATTAAAAAACACTCAAGAATTGCTACATTCAAACCTTAATTTAAAATTATAGGTAGACTCTTTCCAAAGTTTAGGTTTTTTGAATCTGAAACCTGATTAAGCCACCAAGTGACTTTAACTTCTCAGTGATTTAACCTTCAAAATCACCTTTAGAGCTATTTCACTACTGAAAAAGTCTTTAAATACAAATGTGTGATGAGCCCCCAAAATTACCTTTGTCAAGGAGCAAACATCAAATTAAAAACAAAGGGTCTGTCATTTTAGCCAAAAACAGGCACAGACAAGATTAAAGATAATAGCTAACTAATTACATATTTGACTAATTATACACATATCCATCTGAACTTTAAAATTTTAATTTATGTTCAGTAAAGAATATTGTAATTGCTCACACACCTTTTTGTTTTCAAGCACGTCACACTATAATATCCATTTTTTTAAGCACTCTAGTGCTTTAGTCCTATAGGGACTGGCATACAGTTAAAACATATTTTTAGAGGGAGTATCAGAAATTAAATTGTATGCCCAATAAAAAAGATTTGCATTTGCCCACACCCTGTATTATCCTTCTACTAGATTTTCAACACCAGTATCTTTAAATCTTTTAAATAATACTGGAAAATAAAAATTCCCAATTCAAATCACCAAGGTTGCTGGATACCCAAAGTCTGTCAAGTCAAAATCACTATAATTAGTTACATACTAAGGACTTCTGTAGCGGCCTCTGAATCTGCGATCTCGGCTTCTGGAGCGGCTCCGTCTCCTTTCTTTGCTTCTGCTTCGTTTCCTTTCACGGCTTTTACTCTTTTTCCTTTCTCTATCTCTACTTCTCTTCCGTTCCTTACTTTTGCTTCTTTTTCGTTCATGACTACGACTTCTGCTCTTGCTTTTTTTCCTCCTGAGGATAAAAAAGTTACCATTATCTTGCTGATTTAACAATCTGACACTATATACTTCCTTTAATGGTCAGAATGTCTTTCTTTTTGTAAATTTATTTTGTTATTTTTCCTATCATACAATACATACTTGTGAAAAAATAGCCCCCAGGTAAGGTAAACAACGATTGCTTTCTACTCCAGACAATCAGCTGTCAGTTGACAAAGAATCATTTGAGAGAGCCAAGACTACAATGACCTCCTGAAAAATCAGCTACAGTTTTAACAGAAGGACTTGTTGGTAGGTACAGATGAAAACCTGAAGCTTTAAATAAAATTTGGCCACCATATACCTAGCCAACAAGTATTACTGCAATCTCCAAAGTACAGTAATAAAACCAAAGTTACAATGGTAGTACTAGTGCTAGATCATATATAAAAATTTCTATTGAAAGCACTAATTTCCTTTAAGTCAATTTTGACCCAATTTACAAACATGAATATTTTATACTTTCAAAGGGCCATACAAACACCAATGTTTTGGTTTTCATAAGCAAAATTACTAGTGACAACAGACAACAAAATTAATGCAATAAAATGCATTCTGACACGCCCAGATTTTAACATGTTCTTCCTATTTAAAGTTATGAGTAAACAGAAAATGGAGTATGTTATTTTTATGCCAGTTTTTACATGTCTGTGGAGTACAATCAAAATAAGAATCAATACCTGGGGATTTATAAAATCCCAAACTCTGAAAGGTAAAAAAGCCAGTCAGTTATATCTTTCCGTTCATTTCTGTGTTCTTCACAATATACTACCCACTGTTTCATAATTAATCTTTCTGTACATCTGGGTCATCACCCAAATTTTAGAGGTGCCTTCAGATATTTCAATATAAAATGAAAGACATTTCAAAATAAACTTATTCCACTAAAATATGTCAATTTGTAGTGGCTATAAGGTTATCAAACATTTGACAACTCTGTCATTTGGAAATTTAACTTATTAGTCCTTATCAAAACAAAGCTAGCACAATTGCAATTTAAGTCTGCCTCAAAGAACCTGTAAGCAGGTGATCTTAGAGTGCATTGAAAATAGAAAATGAAGACACCCACCTTCTGGAATCTTGAAACCCACACTCCAATCACAAGGAGATGTAGAGCTTTCCAAGGAGGCAGAAACTTTGTCTAAAATTTCAAGATAATCCACCTGACTGTCAGAAATGTATATGCTAAGTAGCACATGACAGAAAATTAGGCTACACTCATCATTCAATATAGAAGTCATCAAAGCAATGCCCAAAAGGGCAACAGTAACACTACAACTTTGCTGCCTGAAAATCCTGGCGCTATCTCTCTCAAAGAAATCTGTGCAACAGCAATAATTCAAAGTCCTAAATGTAACCAATGCGGAAACAAACTAAAGAGTAACTCCATCCCCACAAAATGACAAAGTTTTGCTCTGCTCAGAGATGGCAGAGGTAGTCAACTTCCCTATTTACCTCTTTTTTAGATCCAAAACTTATTCTGCCAAAGGAAAGGACTCAAAAATTTAAAAGCTAATCTCAATTTATAGTCTTCCCAGGACTTGTTACAGGCGAGTCCCCACCCACATCTGAAGGCAACCCCAGACAGGTAAAAAGACAGCAACACACTAAGACATTCAGAAAATAGAATCCTCTATTTAAAAGCCCAGACAAAAGTTTAAGGGTGCAAGAAAATAATATACTTCTCTATAACAAACTTGTAGCTTCAAAGAACATTTAAGTTAACTAAAGAAAGGTTATTACAATCCATACTAATAGTCAAATCCTGTTACAACTTAAAAGGGACTTTCCAAAGTCTTTAGTGGCAGTGGAATTTTGTACTGAACATCATTGAAGTAAATGGTCCACTGGGCTGGGCCTTTGGACTTTTTGGTTATATGGCCTCTGCTGTAAAGGTGTTTGCTATAACTGGATTTGACCTCTTCCATGTAAGAAGATCTAAATTTTAAATGCAAAGTACTCTGGAAAATAAGAAAAAAAATAGAAAAGTCATTTATTCCAAAATTTATAGATAATCCACACCACAGTAGCCAATATATTTCAACTGTGTCATTTTGTATCTTTTACTAAGAATTTCTAAAAAGCTTAACCGAATGGATGCTGGTTTAGCCCTCACAAAACTAGTTATACTAACAATATTCCCATGAAGGCAAGCTCAGGTATGCAAAATATATTATTCTGAGATCTTGCCAAACTTAGGGTATGGCTCTTCAGAAAGGATAATGGATAACCAATTTGTTTTAAACTTAGTTCCTTTTACTACTATTTCAATCAAAATTCAGCTGAATGCATGTACTGAGAATCAGAACTACTTTTTCAAAAGGTTTACTAGTCATTCAACTCAGTTTCTCAGAATGAGAATTTTCTTACTACCTTAAAAAATACACCCCCCAAATCAGTGGTTTTTAAGAAAATGAAAGTTTAGGATGAAAAAAATGCAACATGGCACTTTCCACTGGTTAAGTGAGTAATCTATACTAAAGACAACACACAGATCATTTTACTTACATTTATATATTACATATCACCACTGAAAAATTTCTTCTATGTAACTTTCAAATTAACTTGCAAGATTAACTTCCTTCAGAATTAGTGGGGTAAAAATTCCTGATTGAAAGGGTCATTTAATCAGCTATAATTAGTATAAGATGTATAACAGAATAATTTCTGATAGTTGGGAGTACTTAAAAAGGTTCTTTCTATACAAAGAATCCTACGGTCAATTATAGATACCTATCCACTCTTTTGTTTAGTCCCATAAAACTTTACACTATATATAAAAGTCACTAAGCATCAGTCTAGAGAGCTTGATGCTAAATTTCCTTGTAAAAGCTTGATGTAGCTTAATGACCTTGGATGTAGGACAAAAATATAAACTGGAAATGGCATTAGAAGCAAGGAGTAACATTTGAGAATAGTACAAGAAGATTATGTGGGCCCAAAGTATACATCCTCCATCCTTCTGGAACTTAAGATAGTTTTATTCATTCACCAGGGTTGGTATCTACATCGGATAATTTCAGGACATTTATACGGATACTCACCTTCCTAAGCTTTCTTTTGATTATATAAATGCAAATTAGAACTGCTAACTAGCAAACATATTTTGGTAAAATATCTACAACTAGAGAACATTAAGCTATGAACTGATTCAATGATTGCTTCACACCATTAACAATTCAAGAGTAAACCCAACACCATACCCATCTACTGTGATCAGTACAGAACTGGAACAGACTTCTACCCAACCTTGTACTAGAAAAAAAGGACATTTCCTACAAATTGTATCATTTTCAATCCACTACTACTATATCATTATAGGGGCATTAATAAAAAAAAGTGGCATAGCATATTGTGAATAATCCAATCTAACATTTTCTCATCTATTTTCAGATTACATCAAGCTACCTAACAGTAATGAAGTAATGTATTATGATTACATCAAGCTACCTAACCATAATGAAGTAGTGTATTATGAAGTACTCTGAGCTTTTAGGAAGAGACACAAAGAACCAAAGTGGATATTTACCACCAATTTTCATTATTTATTCTGGGTCACAAACATGACAAAATATTTTATAACATCACAAATACTAATAACAAACAATTTAATGTTTGCAACGTAACTATGTAAAGAATCATTAATTTTAAGAGTTGAAACTACAGTACGATCCAACCTTATAAAGTGGATGTGATTTAAACTTTTGCATATACTAAATTCTGTGTTAGTCTGGAAACACTAGGTTCTTATTTTGGGTTACTCATTTAACCCAAACAATTTGCACGAATATTCAGTTTTTATAAAACTGAACTCTTGCTACAATTCTCCTCCATTCTCACTACTAGTCTACTAGTTTACAAAGACGAAGATGATGAAACCATGAGAGAGAACATAAGTACTTATGTATGCTAATTAATATAAAAGGGATCTTTAAGCAGCAAGGATCATAAATCACAGCTGACAGCTCTCAGTGATTTTCCATGGCATGGTTATTTATCATCTATCCTTATTTTTTTTAATTTTTTTTTCTTTCCTTATTCTTAACTCATCTTCAGTGGTTAAATCTTGATAACATAGCTAAATGTTAAACCAAAGTTAAGAAATTTAACACACAAAGCAAACATTAATACAGGAACTTTTATCCAGATGGTCATGAACGAACTTGTAAGGGGAAGGTCCAAAAGGGCCCTGAAATCTATGGCATGTGTCCACAGTTACAGAGCCTGAAATACTTTCTTGTCCCAAAAGTTAAATTTAGATTAAAAAGACAAAGGAAAGTTTAAGAGAGTCTTAAATATGATTAAATCACAGGAATAGAACTAAAGATCTCAGTCACATGAAGATCCCTCCACCCCAAGTCCCTTCTTAAAACTTACTTTTTGCTACGTTCTTCATGGCCGTTAGCACTGCTCAACTTGTTCTCATCCTAAGCAGGGTTGATAGAAGAACATCATGAGGACGAAGTGGTAACATTTCAAGTTGTCAAAGGGTAAAGGGAATAGGAATAAGAAAATACAAAACAATTTTAAAACTAATTACTTATTTATAGTTCAACATGGAAGGCTACAAAAAAATTTAGATGGGCATGTGTTTAACCACTTTGTTGCTTACAATTAAGTCATCAAGATACAAAAATAAAAATGCATATTAACATGTTAAATTTTACGTTCTTATATAGTTAGGTATTAAGTTATCCAGATTTACAGTGTTGAAGTGGTTAAATAGGATTTCTATAAAACATGAATGAAGTCCTGGTTTGAGTTTTATTCCACGTTCTATGGTCCCTTTGGTCAGTACCATGGCTCTATTTCTGCCTAAGCCCCAAGTGGCCATGCTAGCAGCCAGCCACTATCGATTTCCTGTGACCGATGCCATTCCTGAGATCTTCGCCCATTTCCGTTGGAGGGTTGGGACTGTAAGAGCTTGATGCCACCTCTGTCACACATCTCGCCCTGAAGCAAACAGGGATTCACACTGCTTTAGTAATGTTGACTCCCAAGAACCCAAGAAAGTCAATTAATAATCCACCAGTCCAGCCTAAACATTTCCTATTTCCATACCTGTTTACATGGAATTACATCCACGTTAAACTAAGACACAGAATCTTAACATTAAAATAGAAGTAGCTCTTCAAGAGTCTAAGCATCACAATGCTACACACACTATTTAAAGCTATAAAGATTTCATCCAAATTGGTACCACATGGCCGTGCTATACACTCCAAAACAAACGTATTATTTTAAAAAGGTTTAGCGCAATGTTTATTTTAAAGTTTGAACACATCAGTTATGAGAGTTTAAGTGCTAACTTACAAAGCTTACAGTTTGTGACACCAGTGATAATGCATGCATACTGATATTTTCACCACCAACTGGTGAAAGAACGAAAAGACACTTTACTTTTACTGTGATACTGAAATGGGCCGAGACTATATTAGCCACAAAATGCCTTTGTAGTTTTTAGTGTGAAATATTATGGCAGGGACTAATTAAAAATAAAACAATATGGAGAACAGTAAAACAGTCATCAAGTGACTCTAAGCTGTGATACTGCCTCTTTTGCTTTAATTTTTTTTTTCTTCTATTCAGGGATCCAAGAATTTTAGTAATTCTTAACTGAGTAGCAGATTCATGACCTGCCTGTTGTAATATTTACTGTCACCAGTCTTTTATAGAAAGAATTTTAAATCTCACCCATATCTTCTTATAAGACTTAAAGATTTGCTTGCCACAGACTGGTTTGGCTTCGTTATTCTTGGACCCCTGCTATTTTCCCAAACCACTACATTCACCTTTTTGCTATACCAAACTGGTGCTGGTAATTCTTAGTTGAGTCATTTTACCTAGGGGACCACGGTACAGCGATAAGTCACTCAATTACTACCTTATGATTGACAGTTCACACTGGAATCAAAGGTGAATTCATGGGAGTAGAGGTGAGATATCGTTAGGCAAGTCTACAAAGAGAGATAGATGGGCATTTATTCATCACGCTGAAGTGAAACTACTGCACAATATTATTACATCAATAGCATATATTTACTTTTGTAAGTTACACGTAATGCATCTCTGATAAGATAAATCAAGAGGGCTCCGGGGAGGTTAGTTTACATTTCAGCAGTAGTTTCGTGAATAATGCTAAATTAAGAAATCTGTAAACCTCACCGACATGTTTTCTCTCACCTTCTTGTAAGGAGCCTCAAGCATTGCTTCAATATCAATATCGTCTGCCATTTTCTCTAAACGCCTAGAAAAGGAACAAGGTAATTCTGTGAATAAACGGTTCGATTCCGCTCCTTTTTGTTACAGGACCTACTCCCAATACTTCAGAAAAACCTTCGAAAACCCTAGAATCACTAAAATGGCACGACGACTTTACCAAACGTAGCTATTAAATTTGAAATACCTCTAAAACCAAACACGCTAACATTAATCCTAAGTCCGATTTTAAAAAGCCGGCAAGTATTTCCAAAAACAGAATCCAGGCGCCTCCAGCGAGAGCGCCTCTTTCCGCGCAAAACCCGCGCTGCCATTTTAGGGGCAAAAGGAAACTCCCTCGGTTGGGAGGGGTTGTGTGCCATCGCACTGTTCGGCTGGCGCCATGTTGGGAGGTCGCGGCCGGCCCAGTCCTCGAAGGGACAGGTCGCCATTTGCCCGAAGTCTCTGAGGCCCATGCCTCCCCAAGAACCCTAAAAACCTACCCGACCTGAAAAGGGCGCGGTCACCGAAATAAAGCCAATTTCTCCAAACCTGCCCCCCCCCCCGCTAAAGACAACCTAAAAAATGCTCCTCGACGCAGAAGGGAACCAGACCTTGGAAAAGCTAATAAGCGGGTCCGAGACGCCTCCTTACCTGTGCGGGCTTTCGGATCCCTGTGGTGTTTGCTGTATTCGGAAAGGGGGGACTGTTGCTGCCGCCGCTGTTGCTACTATTAAGCCGCTAGGCCCAGGCCGCGGTACCGCCCAGCCCGAATTTCGGGCTCCGACGGCGGATAGGCCCGAGCGAATCTAAAAGAGACAATGGGATTAAAGGAGGCCGCGCGGGAGTGCAGGACGGCGGCTTCGGCAGCTCAGGATCCACCCCTGCGACAACGTCGGCAAGCTCTCTGAAATGGCGGCCGCTGCTTCCCCGTACTCAACATTCACCAACACACATACACACACACAAACACACGGGGCCTCACAGAGCCCGCAGCACGGGCTCTCGCGAGAAATTGCCTGTAGTTCTAAGCCTCAGCCGCCGAAACATCGCGAGATCTAAATATGGCCCCAGTGACTGTGGTCCAATCCCGCGCAATGATTGCGCCACACTTATTCCCATCCCCCCGCTCGGAGGGGCGCCTTTGACTACCCCCTCCTGCTAGGCGTCCGTATCTCGCGAGACCGCGCGAGTTAACAGCGCAAAGACCGTTGGTACATTTCCTGTCAATCTCGCAGAAAACTCAACGCTGAGTGGAGCTCAGCGGGCGCTATATCCTCGTGGCGCCTCCTCGCAGCTATCTGAAGGTTTCCTCCTCAGAACTGACCGCCCCTTCTCCCAAACCTCCCACCCAGATGTCTGTCAAGGTCGCCATAAGGCAACTTAGTTCTTATGGCGCCAGAATAAAACGTAAACTGTTTATAGGCTTATCCGCAGAAGGCGAAGACAAAATGAAAAGCACGTAGGAGAGAAGGAGAGGAGAGACCGCACGGGGGTAGAGAACTAGAGGTGGAGAATAAAAATTAGATTTCCTGGGCATTTTGGAGCCAGTGGATTAGGTATTGCCTAATCTAGTTTCAAAACAACCTGAGAAGTAGTGAAGGAAGGCGAAGAGAAGGTGGAAAAAAACAAACTGCTTCCCTTGGCAGTGGATCAGCTTTGTGCCCTCCCCTATACTCCCCGCCCCGAATGTATAGTGTGGGGTTGCTATTGTTTCTTCAGAAACGTCCCCCATTCCCCTCCCCCCATCCCCCGACTTAGTTCCTTATTTCTGAAGACTCCCAAGATCCCTGGCCGTCAGTGTAGAAATTCACCATTTGTTTTTTGGTCAAAACCGAAAGAAAATAGGGAGCAAAGAGGTCATTGACTTTTCCTCCATGTAAGACTTTTTCCCTCCAATATAAAAATGTTTGATTAAAAAAAAATAACCCTTGAGGGGCAAGACTCTACTACTTTCAAAATGCCAATAATAATGTAAGCCAATGTTACCGCAATAAAAATAAGTAAAAAGATTAAAAGCAAATATCTTACAGAAGTGTATTATTAGGGCCTCCCTGATGGCTCAAGGGCTTGAGGACAGCACTATGAAGAGTTCACCAGCCTCTGCAGCATGAGCTCGATCCAGACCTCTCCTGTCTCGACCACTGCTCCCCTTGGCAGTGTGTTTCAGTCAGACTGTTCTGTACCCCACTCTTGTCTCTGGTGAATCCTCTCAACACCCTCCTTCCCCCCCCCCCCCCACACACACCTCTGGCCTGTGCCCCAGGTCTTGTATGCATAAATAAATAATTTTTTTAAAGTGTATTTTTAGTTTCATGATTGAGGGCAAAAGTTTCAAATGAGACACCTCAGTCGTGTAGCTGCTCCAACACTGATCTTGGACAAGTAAGTTAACCTCTCAGAGTCTATCCCCCACTTCCTTCTATGAATATCTGTGAAACGTAGTTACTAGGGTAAGTTACATGAGACTGACCAAGGACAATTGTCACTACTGAAATCTCAACACTTAGTGCTGAGCCAAGTGGACATTCACTAAATGAATGACTGAAAACCTAGTAAAATATACCGAGGATTAAATCAGACATGCTAAGCTTTGCCTTCTTTTTTCTTCCTTAATTCCAGTATTATGACAGTAATTGTACTCCTTAGTTGATTCGTGAATCATTAGTTGTATAAATATCAAAGCATGCAAGCGGTCCTTTTTAAATTTGTGTTTGGGAAGATAATAGTGAAGAAATAGAACTTAACCTCTAGGCTTCTTATTTGGAAAGTGGAAGGGTTTAAGGTACAAATCACTTAAGTGATTATCCCTAAAATTATTTTCTGTTCAAGGACCGTCAGCGTGAACCTGGCAATTTAGCTTACAGTCAAAAAATACTAGCTGGAAAAATCAATATCAAAAACAAGAATATATTTTATATGTAAAAGAAAATATTTTGAAACGTAATGCCCTTTTCATTCACTTTGTAAAAGCTTTCATAATTTTGTCTCCCATATTTCCAGGATTCAGTGAGTGAGCCTCTGGATTAAACATCTGGAAGCACTTGGGAGCGTGAAACACCTGGAAAAGTCACAGATGGTCCATATCTTCTCCCCTTCCTTCCCCTATGCATCTCTTCTATCTGGCTATTTCTGAGTAAGCATTCTTCTATAAGATGAAGAACATTATTCTCTCTTAAAATTCACAGAGAATAGACCACAAATAAGCAAGGGCTTGGGACAGATGAGGTAATAGCTATCATACTTAGAGAATTTAGCCAAAAATTAAAAAAAAAATTTTGCGCATGTGAGCTTTTTTGTATTCATGTATGATTTTTATGGATAGAAAACACTGTTTTTGATAGTTACATTTTAAAAATAGATATCCCAGGGCCTCCCCTGGTGGCGCAGTGGTTGAGCTCTGGACTGCGAAGCTGCCTGCAGTCTCTTCAGCGTCAGTTCGATCCCCGGGCGCCCGCGAGGGTCCCACATGGTGCGCAGACCTCTCCTGCTGCGCCTGCTGCTCCCCTCAGCAGTGTATTTCGTTGGTCGGCCTGTTTCTGTTCCCCACTCCGTCTCCGGTGAATTCTCTCACCCTCCCAAACTTCTGACTGTACCCAGTACTCACATAAATAAATAAATAAATCTTTAAAAAAAATAAAAATAGATATTCCAACTATAAAGTAAGTACATTTTAGTAGTTTTCCTTAGACTTAAAAGAATTATTTACACATTTTTTTGGTTTTATTGATTAATCTAACATTTTCAAATCACCTTCACTTTATTAATTAATATTGAATTAGATTTAAGTTGAACCAAAAAATCAATCCCCTTTACATTAGATGCATTTCCTCAAATTTAGTTTGTCTTTTCAATTAAACATGTAATTGATTTGGGGTACTTTAAAACGTTCCCAATTATGAAACAAATTTTCAAAATCGAAAAAATTAAATATCACAAACATAAGTCTTAAAAGTTCTTAAAATAGGGCCTCTCCTGGTGGTGCAGGCCGCTTGAGCGTTGTGCTGTGAAGCTGTCCGCAGCCTCTGCAACGCTGGTGCGAACCCAGCCAGTCAGCAGTGTCCCACATGGCGCAGCAGACCTCCCCTGCCTCACCCGCTGCTCCCCTCAGCAGTGTATTTCGTCAGTCTGCCTGTTCTGTGCCCTGCTCTGTCTCTGGTGAATCCTCTCACCCTAATAATAAATAATATTTATTATTAATAATAATAAATATTATTTATTTATAATATTTATTTATAATAACATCTATTTATTTAACATTTATTTATTTATTTATACACTGGGTACAGTCAGAAGAGCGGGAGGGTGAGAGAATTCACCAGAGCCAGAACGGGGAGCAGAACAGGCAGAAGGACTGAAGTACACTGCTGAGGGGAGCAGCGGGCACAGTAGGAGAGATCTGCGTGCCATGTGGGACCCTTGTCGGTGGCCGGGGATTGAACCAGCACTGCAGAGACTGTGGGCAGCTTCGCAGCCCAGCTCTCAACCGCTGCGCCACCAGGGGAGGCCCTAAAATAAATAAATAAATCTTAAAAGAAAAAAAGTTCTTAAAATAACCTAATGTAGGTCCTCCCTGGTGGTGCAGGGCTTAAAGTCTCAGCTCAAGCTATTGCCAGCTACTTCTGCATGAGTTCGATCCCTGGCTAGGTAGCTAACCCACATATGGTGCAGCAGACCTCTCCTGTCTTGCCCACTGCTCCCCTTAGCACTATATTTCGTAGATCTGCTTGTTCTGTTCCCTACTCAGTCTCTGGTGAATTCTCACATCCCGGCCCCTATACCTCTGGCCTATACCCCAGTTCTTATATGCATAAATAAATAAATGAATCTTAAAAAAAAACACTTTAACTTAAAATATTATTTTTTATACCTTTAGAGTTATCAGTGAAAAGTGCCATTTTTGGGTCCATTCAATAAATATTTAGTACTTTCAGAATTTTTTTTTTAATAATAAATTTTATTGTTATATTCCCCATACAATTGCAGCCCCCCCACTTTCAGAATTTTTAACACTCTTCAGGACAATT